ACCTTCATCTACTTATCGTTCAATCAATTGATTAGAACCGTATCTGTTAGCCTTGATTAAAATCATCTTGGTCACAGATTTCCTTATACATCGATCTTGTACCTGATTCTTGTTTTTTGTTATCCCACATTTTGTTTTTGAAAACAATCCTACTAGAAATATATTTGTCAATTCAAATTTAAACCTTGCTTTACTTTGGAAAACAGTCCCATCCAGAAAATCCAATTTCCACTTGTACTAGATTCTTATATTTGTTTCCATGGCAATAGGGTGGTTCTTGCGGGTGGGTGAGTGGTGCAATCAATTTATATATATATTGCAATCGTGCGAGAAATGAAGGACAGGAAGGGACATAATGAGATGGGACAGAACTGCATCAACTGAGCAAGTATTTAGTAGAAGATTGAAAACCACACCGCAATTATTATGAGGCAAAAAGAAAATCAGCAATGGGATAGCTACGATTCTTCTTCTGACCCCCTTCTCAGCGAATTTAGCAATTAATCACAAAGGGTGGTTTATGCAGTCAGTTGCTAGTAAAGGTTTCAAGTTGCTTTATATCTATCCATTGATTCCAAAAGGCAAGACTTTAATAAGGTCCGAATTGACCCCTCTTTTTTTTTTTGACAGTAGAGGAAAAGGTTCCAAAACTGTGGTATCCATAGTGTGTTACCTTTTGAACTCACCCCGTTTTTTAAGGGTCAAAGCTACAGTTGAGATCATGCATTTCTTATTGCAAGCTTCGAGACCGAAGTGAATAGTTAACAAGGGAAAGTAGGGGTCTTATTTCGTGGAAGACATGTAGGGCAACTGTTTAAAGGTGGTGAAACGATGATCCTACAGATTCGCATATTGTTATTCTTTCAAACAAGATTCTACTCCAATTTTTTATTACGACCACCAACGTTAGCAATGTGCAGCTTCAAAATTACACATCAATCACACACTTTATGATCTAATCTCGCGTTCTTCTTTCTCGAACTTAATTACATGTGGTCTTAACCTTTGGTGCGTTATTTGCAATTAGCTAACTAAGCCCATCTTGGTTAGAATTGTACTTGATGTGTACAAGTGATTTGTCTAAAAAAAGTAAGAAAAAGTAATTTGAAAAGAAAATAATTGTATTATTATTCGTTCAAACTTTAGTACAATTTAACTCTCAATATTTTGATGATTTATAAATGAAGGAACTTCTTCTATTTATAGGTACCATTTCTTTTAAGTAATCTTCTAAATTTTATAAGGCTTTTAAGTTTTTTAGATCTTTCTAAATAAGTTTTACTTTATTTATGTGTTCTAGAACTTTTTACACTACTCAAGATAATTCTTGCTCTATGTACAAGTTTCTACAAGATTTTAGGACGTTTATGTCATTGTTATAAGTATCTACATAATTTTAAAATTTTCTAGAAGTTTCAGTCAAAATTAAGTTTTTAAAGACTTCTATATACAACTAACTAGAAGCTTTCAGTCAAAATTAAATATTTTCAAAGTCTTCTATATACAAGTAACTAAATTTGATAATAAACTAGTGCAAAAAAGACAAACAAACTAAGAAAAATGGTGCAGACATTACACTAAACTTTCTTTTATGATGTTCCCTCTCAGCATTAAAAGAAACAAAAGAAGTATAGCAGAAAGAAATAAGTAAAAAGCAAACAAAAATAAAAATAATTTACTTTAAAAATAGATTAAAAAGATAATCAAATATAATTTTATTATTTAATATTATTAGTTAATGTCAATGTTTATTATTGATAACATTTATTTTATTATTATAAGCATTATATTATTTTAAAAAACCCAGATTTAAATATTTAATTTTTTTACAAAAATTATATTAAAAATTGCTTGCATCACAGCATATGATTAATATCCGTTAATTATTGTAGGATACGTTAGTATGTAGTGGATAGATCGTTGATGACACCCTCACAACCCACGAGTGTAATCAATTGCTAACAAAAGATTCTTGTAGGCAATAAAAAAGTCTTTGATGCGAAATGAGATATAATTATTGTGTCACATTCTAGAGTAACCTAGGATTAGTCCTCAATCAAATGTATCAACACATAATAAATATCACTATTTGTTCTATTCTATAATGCAGTGGGCCTATAGCACCCGAGTGTATATTTTCTTTTGGTTGCTGAACCAATAAGCCACGATCTTATTACCAGATTAGGATATCCTAGTGTATCTCAAAATAGAAAACTTCAAAACCAAACGTCAAAACAAAAATAGGAGCGTTATGAGATTCAACATAAAAATTTTTTTGGTCTTTCTTTTCTTTTATTTCAAAAAGAGTACGGGTAATTCCGGAAGGTTTCTAATAGTGAAATATATGTGTGGCCTCGTTAAAAGAAGTAAGTTTGGGCCAATCCACAATTTCTGTCGATTTGACCAGACGGCTGAAAATGGGTTTTATTATATTTAAAATATCTTAATCGATTTAATATAGTTTCAATCAATAATGGTTTAAGAACAAAAAATTGATTAAAATATTCATTAATTAATAAATAAAACCAAATTAAAAAAATAAAATTAAGGAAATCCCAAAACCAGAAGTTGATGTTGTGGGAGGATAAATATGGGAAGTGAAATGGACGTAAAGAAAGAAAAGTGTAAGTATTTGGGTGAATTGAATTGAATTATAAGTCTATCTCAGTGATGTTAATAATTTTAGAACGTATTTGCCGCCGAGAAAGGAAGCGCCCGTACTATGAGGAGTGGCGGTGAAGGGTGTTGGCAGTTGCCACTTTAGATTTGATTTATTCATGAGATGGGACAGAAATGGGTGTCTTGTTTTTAGCTTAGGTTAGCTTTATTAGCTACCTGGTGATGGATTGATTGAGGTCATGAATGTGTTCATGGAAAAGGACTCTCACACACTCTCTGTTTTCACCTCCACTGCCCCTGCAATATGTAACACTGCCTTCCCTTCTCCTTTGTTCAACCTCATCAAATCAACTTACTAAATAAAAGAAACTATTGATAGAATTGATGTAGATGTGTAACTGAGCTCACTAAATACATTTCCTTTTAAGTTCTACCTAGTTCTACACCTGGTAACATGGACTAGGCCACGAACCTTACAACACTGTACCTAATTTCTTTTTTTCAGTTGAGGGTGAAAAGATATGTAGAAATGATTGATACAGGTTATAATGATGATAATAATAAAGAATGTAATTATAGGGCAATGGTGGAGACGTATTTATCCGAAAACAGAAAAAGAAGAAGAGAAGAGTGAAAGAAAGAAAGAAGGGTGAAAAGGATGGAGTGGTGTATATGGGACAGGGACAGGGACAGGCAAGATGTGTGTTGGAGGTGAGGATTCTGTGATCTAAATTTCTTTCAATATCAAACACACACCACAACCCACCAAACACATTAATTCCTCTAATAATTCCAAACAACCAGCCTGTGCCATCACCTATTTCAACTTCAATTCAAGATGGGACACTTTTTTTGTTTTTACTCCAAATCTTAAACCATTTCTTCTACTGTCTATGGCCCAACATTGTGCTATGGGCCCTTTTATGTACCTCTAGCCCGTAGGGCTGCATCGGTAGGTGCTGCTTCACATCTCGCGTGTTATTGCCCTTACTGTGGTAGATGGGCCTGTGCTCCCACCCATCAAATGTCAAACTTCTAGCCCATCTTCTGCCCAAGTGAGTAACTATTGGTTCTGGATGATTGGTTGGTGCAAGTCTTGTTTTCGTCCACAACTTCTTCTCAAATGATAGATACGTGATGTTAGTTACTCCTCTCAAAGTCTAATTGAAGTTTGTTTACTGGGAGAATCATATTTGTATCACATTTATAGGAGCAACAGTACCAAAATAAAAAGAGTTGTGATCTTCGCAAGAAAGAAACTATTCATATCTTATGGAACAAGAGTATTTTTCAACATTTGTTCACTCTTTTCAGCCAACAAAAATATGCCATATATCATGAAAAAAAATCATTCAAATGGTAAAATCAAATAGAAAACATTTATACTAATTGAGACCGTCAAACTCATTGATAGCTCTTATATTCAAACTTTTGAAGGGTTCTCTTTCATCTTGTGCGTATTTTTAGTATTTAAAAAGCAGCAAACCAATAATAATGAATATTATGCTGAACAAAAGAAAGGGATTAAGTTTCATGTTTTGTTGTAGTTATATAACGTACGTGTGTGAGTTCCATGTACGTAAATCTTATGATGAACTTATTCAACAAAATACTAAGCTGATCTGTTCGAAGAAATTGGGTCATGTGAGGCACACTGAACATTTATACAGATAGCACTCAGGTCAAGGTCATGCTAGCCATTCTCTTGCCCAAATTTGTTGTGGAATTTGCCATACTTTTCCTGCACGCCTGCTTTTTATCTTTTGGCTCTCCATACAGGGAAAAATAAATATTTTGGACCACTTTCTTTAATTTTCCCACATTGTGGTCCCTTTAAGCCGTACTAGATCCCAACATAGAATATAAAGTATAAAGTTTGAGAAGGAGAAAGTTAAAGCCCTCAACCATTGAGATTTACTATGAATTTTCTCCATATCTCTCACTTTTTTCTATGCTTTTATATTGATCTTTTTGATTGTTTGAAAATATCACTGATATATCACACCATCTTTTTAATTTTTTAAAGAATTACACCATACCTATACGAGAGAAGTTGCTAAAAAATTAAAACACGAAGGAGGTTACAAGCAATCTTAACAACATACCATGTGAACTCATAATTTGTACTCATAAGTTGTGCTAGTGTGATTTACTCTAAAAAGAAAAGAAGCATCACTACAAGTATATATTCTTTCATAATTTGTACAGAGACAATGGAATACCGAGCCAAAAAACGAGTTGCAGATGTGAACTCATAATCTCTCTTCTTTCCCTAATAATGTGCATCTGTAATGCCATGGAACTTTCTGCTGCCCAATATTTTTATGACAAGGAGCTCTCATTTCTCACTAAAAAGGCATATACACCACGCGTCCAATTTCCTACTGCAACTGTATATTATTGGCTATAAATATAATCAGCACGAGCAGCCAAGGGGAGCTTCCTCGTAGAATTAAGCTAGCTGAGAATAAACAAAAAAGAAGATTAACAAAAGAGTCCTACACTCTGATTTTCTGACATTCTAATACTGATGCACCTTAGTATGTATTATCAACCATCCTTCAGTTTCTCATGAGATTGAAAAACGTAGTATAGAAAGAAAAATATATGATGAGCAAGGTACAAATATAGGCCAAGTGAAAAAGAAATAGCAAAACCCAAATGCAGACCTAATCATGCAGTTGTGACTTTCACTCATTCTTACCATTCACATTCAATGGTGGTGGTGGTGAAGCTGTGGATGAGTTCGTCATTGATATTCCAAGGTTAGAGCAACCCAAACCAAAAGCACCTTCAAGACAAATTTGAAGTAATCTCTAGTTATTTTAGATGATTTTTGTGAACAATAAAATTGCAGTAAATAAAATTTTTCCTCTTCTAAAACAGATTAAGCATAGGACTTCCTCCAAACAAATGGATTTAACTCTAACTGAGTTTTTTTTTTGCCTTACATTCTCTGAAGCAAGGTAAGGCAGTGGCATTGAGAATATTGTAATAGCCAGCATCACAGATGCAACTATAAGAGAAAAAGGATGTCTTGTTGCACGAGCCACCTCCACAATCTACCCAATGGCAAGCTACATAAACATATGACGAAGATGTTACAAATTTTAGAACCCGTCAGGAAAGAAAGAAGCTGAAACGTTAGGTGCCATTGATTATATAAGTTGATTACCATCAAATATTGACTCATTGGCTTTTCTTTCTTTCTGTTGAGCAGGGCTAGGGACATTGGAGCAAGAGTGGTTCAGAGTACCTACATCGGGGATCAGGCAAATCTTTCAGCGTCTGGAAAAATATCAAATAGCCATCAACAAAACTTGACAACTGTTCTAAACAAGTTGCAGTATCAAACACAGTGCTTCCTTGGCACTTAGTGAAGTTAAATGTTTACCCTTGAAAACAATTTGCCACATGCATAACATCAAAGGTTTGAGCAATCTGTACAGATCCCAAAATTGAAATAATTATAGGAGAACAGCATTGCACTACTTAAACATCAAAAACTAGATATTTAATTTAAGCTTGAGTGTGACACCATAACTTAATTTTTTGCTTTCTTATTACTTTCACATCTCAACCCAAGGAACAAACTTTTAGGATCCATGCATGCGAAGAAAATCTATCCCCTTTAAGAAAGGAATGCATTTAGGTTTGCAATGTTTCCACCAAGTTATCTTATCTTCCTCTGTAGTTAGTTGATTGCTTCAAAACTTTGTGTGATTCCACATAGTAGCATAGCAAATAGTTTCATCAATACCATGCTTTTACAACCACTTGCAGCCAAACAATAGTCACAAAAAAACAAACGAACAACATAACCATTCACTCTTTCTAAAATCTCATTTCTCAATTGTGTTTGTATACTACTAAAGCAAGCGTCCTAATTAAAATTCAGTGTTAAGATTAAATCAAGCAGAGAAGAACCCATAAGAAATCAATAGCGAATACATAACCTCTTTTGGAGGAGAGAGTTCTTACAATTAGGAACTATGCAAGGAAGAAACTTGAAGCCCTCATCATGAGAAGAAAGAGTTTGCCTCCAACCTGAATCGCAATCGCATTCAAACAAGAAAGTGCCATTCACAGAAGGCTTGCAAGTTCCCTTTCCACATTCCACTTCTTTGCACACGTCCTCTGAACTCACCTCACATTGCAAAAAGAACAGGAAGTCAAAAAACAAATTCTGAAGTCTAATTCAAATCAATTTGAAAAAAAAAAAAAAAACACGGAACTTGAGAAGACTCATGAGAGTTAAAGTCATGGAACTTGAAGCCCGTGGATTACGAGCAACAGGTCCAAAATCCCAATAGAGAAATCCAGTCCAATAAAATAAAATAGAAAAGGGTCTCGTTCACAAACCAGATAATGGAGAGAACAGAGGAGACAGGAAATCACTTCTGGCCGAAAGAATTTGCAGAAGAAGATAAACAATGACACTGGAGAAGCCCATCTTTAACTATAACAATAAGAAAGAGTGTTAGGATCCAATCTCAGAAGACGTTGCGCTCTCTCTCCAACTGCAATAGCTGATTTTTTTGTACTGTTTGCTCAAGATTCGTATCACTTAGTATCCGTTTTTTTACTATATTTCTCAACTGCAAATAAGTGGCGCAAATGGTGTCCCTGGCATTACGATGTTCATTTTGAACCAGTGCCCACGCCACGTGGTTGCCAAGATCTGAAGAATTTATAGGGTCTTGGTCTCTCCTCCTAAACACTAGCTAACTTTTGTAGTTTAATTTTCCAAAAATTTCTTATCACGACGAGAGGGTCAAAATACCACGAACATCGTGGCTATCTAACAGTTGGATACATATATCTAACCGTTAACTGTTTGAACCTAGGAATTTGGAAAAAAAAGTCAGTTGTCTTCCAGAGTCTTTGGTGCACTATGTCTTGTTTGATTTTGAGGTGAGAAATATACAATAGTGAATAGTGAAATACTGAAGCAATACATTGTGAAAAAAAAAAGATACAAATAAAATCAAATATTTAATTGTTGACAAAATAAAAATATGTAAAAATGAAAAAAAGGTATTTTTTAAGTTTTTTTCCTTTCCAAATATAAATATGTGCTTTTGTCATACCAATCATATACAACTCCACAAAGGGACATGATCAGTTTGATTTTCAAATATGTCTTTTCAACCTAGCTTGAAGAATAAAAGTTAATTTGCGGTCCAATCTTCGAAACGAAGTGCATGCCTCATCAAGATCGGGCTTTAAATTTTGTCTAGGTACATCTCATAGTTGAATTTAATGAGTGTTGCAGTCATAATTATATATGCATCTAATGATATGTTAGTAATATGATTACATAATAATGACAAAAAATTATCAATATTTTTAGCTTTTAAATAGTTTGGTGATAATAAAAAGATAACATTGAGAAATCAGTTATTTCAATAGTTGAAATGCGCATTACAAAGTGATAGTTTAAGTAGTTAAATTAATCAAAATCAAATAACTTTATCTATGCAGAAGGGAAGAAATAGAAAGAGAATTTTGTGGAGGGTTTTATTGAATTATTGTGGCATGTCGTGTTGGTATCTACTTCTATTGTTTGTATTTAAAAATCCATTTGTCCTTGTTCAAGAAATCCACTCACAAGACAGCAACAAGCCAAATAATTTTTGGCCAAATTTTTCTCTTTTCCCTTACACAAATTAATTTTATTTCATAGTTTTAAAGATTGGATGCTAATTAAAGAACTTACGGTTCAAATAGAAGAAGACCAATAAAGTGAGAAGAAAGACAGGTTCACGTGAAGAAAACCTAAAATACTTTTGCTTTCTTTATTGAAAATTTTATGTGTCTACCATCAGCCCTCTTCTTTAATCTTTATAACTAATACGCGTAAGGACATTACGATAAATGCATAAAAAATAACTTTAATCTCTTTTTTATTATTTAATTTCAGTCATATACATGTGTAATTTTTTCCTTTTTTTTCTTGTTCAGTTAAAAGAGACTTTTTTTTTCATCCTAATTTTCTTTTTCTTTCATTCTCATGATTTTATTTTTAAAAAAATTTCTAAGATATGCGTGTGATATGATAATATTATAGTATGTTATGAAATAACATCTATTAATATAGCAATTAGTTATTTATTAATTATCTTATTATTTTAAATAATACCACCTTGTTTTATATTTTTATTTTTTTAACGCGTGTATTAGAAGAGTATTGGATTTACAGATATATGTTTTGGAAAAACATGTTTTCTATCACTGTTTTTCTTTTTGTCAAATATTATTTTCTTTGTACTTTCAAAACGATAAATTAGTTTTCTAACTTTTAAAACTTCACAGTTTACTATTTTTAATACTTAAACTTCAAATTTAACTGTTTTTTTTATCATCCTAGAATTGAAATCAAAAATAAATTTCCATTTTTTGAAGTTTAAGTATTAATTTATTAACTCAAAAATAAAGTATCAAACAATTTTTGATAAAAACATATACATAAAAAAAACATGGTTTTCTTGTATTTTTTGAAAAAAAAATTTGATACAAAAGCAATGTTTAACTTTGTGTTATATAAAAACAAAATTTTATCAAAAAGACTCTTAACAAACTTCATTAATGCGGTTTGGGTATATGTTTTAATAGAAAGAGAGAAATGATACTGTCAAATATTACGAATAAAAGAAATTTTAAGTTTACAAAAGAATTACGTAAACAAATAAATAATAAAAAAAAGTTTGAGAAACAACGTTTGAATGAGAGTGATATGTTTTACTCGTTTTTCTTGTATCTTTTAATTTAATTTAGTAAAAATCATATTTAAATTCACATGTTAACAATATTGTGTTTTGTTTTCTAACTATGAATTATATATTTATTATGTAACTTTTAAAATTTATTTACTATGAACATATTAAAAAAAAATTGATGATACGATGAAGATGAGAAATATGACTATTCTATTTGGGACAAGTAAATAATTTAAGATTTTTACTATATTAAACTATGAAAAATTAACCATATCTTAATATGAAAACAAATATGTAGACCATCAATAATAAAAGAAACTCAATGAAATTACAAATTATTTTCATAATTTTTTTGTGAGTTTTAAAGGAAGGGTAATGAGATGAGATCAGCGATGGACTGGGGTTCGACAATAAGGACAATGAGGATGAGTTGCAAGCCAGGGAAGAAGACATGGTGAATGATACTTGTGGGAACATGAAAGGTTAATAACTTGTTCCTCTTCTCCCAAATCTTCAAGACAAACAGCACACACTTTTCTCTCTTCCTTAATCTTGTTCCCACGCAATAACCATGAACCCTCTAACAACTTCCGTCCCAATCCTCCATCCTTCTTCTGCTTCCTGCATTCCCTTACTTTTCCTCCGTCTTTTCTTGGATTCTCACTTGACCTGTACGGGGAAATTTCTCTTAATTCCAGTGCTTAAAGAAAGTTAAAGGAAAGTAAATTTGAGTTCTAGTTTTGTAAAATTGATGTTCACGAATCACGAGTCGAAAGCTCTGCCATGTTTCCAAGGACATCACGTGGGTGCACCTAAATATTAGTATTATATATGGACAGTGTAGGATAGGATAGGATAGGATAGCATATCTATAACTATATAGACCAGAAGGAATCATTAAATCTAGTAGTGAGATAGAGTGATGGCAAGGAACCACATCGAATCTAACGAATAAAATCATACGAATCTCCGAATTCTTGAAGAAGAAAGAGAAAAATCCTTAATTAGGCAAGTGTGTGGGCATGAGGAAGTGAGGAAAAATGAAACAAGTATTAACAAATGCAGAAAAGTAGATAGGTATTGTAAACATGTATGATATACCCGTATGAGGAAAAGAAGTGTCCAAGCTTCCTGTGAAGCCTTTGCCTGGCCTTGAGAGCAGTTTCATCTAAGACAGTGAGTGGAATCCAAGGTGGATCAAGTGATTCCTTTAGGTAATAGTGGTGTCGATTTTCATGTCTATGGTGGTTCTCTGCTCTCTTCCTTGCAAGCAACCCAACCCCGGGCAACCTACCAGCCATGAACAAACCCCTTTACCTGCTCATTCTTATCTCAATTTATGGCTATAAGACCCCCAAATAATGCATCCAAGTTTTTTATGCTTACTTGGGGTGTGACAGGTGAGTAGGAGTGAGTTTTGGTACCTCTTGGTAAATATCAAAAGCTGCAGGGCCCAATTCTCATCACTCTCTAGCCCTTTCTAATCATTTCAATTATGCAAAATACACGTTCATTGCACGACACCTATGTATGGCTCTTGGAACCCAAGCACTGTCATGTTCTCTGTCACAATTTGGTAAATGTTCTTTCTGAACACCAATTTTACCTCGGAGGTTGATTTTTAGTGTTCGCAAATGAAACACGTGGTTCCCTTTGGCCACCTTAAATGGACAAACACTGTTACCGAAATGGAGCTGCATTATTGCTTGATTGGAGGGAGTGAGAATATAACGTCTCATTCTAATCCCAATCAAAAATTGACTTCCAATCTATATGGAAAAAATTAAACTGTTTTTTGACCTCTTCTTTAAACTTTATAGGAGACATTGTATTTAAACATTTTTAGTGTAGTTTAATAGGCGTAAAAGGAACTATATGGTACAACCAATAATAAACATCAATAGTATGATTTTTAATATAATTATGACAAGTATCAATAAATTTATTTTCTAGTAGAATTACTGTAACAGAAGTTTTAAATTATTAACGTATGTATTTTTTTAATTTTCGAACAAAATTTCTCTTTTTCCTATATATAAAACTTAATGGAAAGCAGAAGAATTAGATCTAAATTTATAATTATATTGCGTCTTTGGCATATCAAAATCTCACGTGCTTTAAAAGGTACTACAAATATTTGATTGCGGAGGCTTTTCAAGATGAAGTTGAGAAAATCATGTGTAAAAACTCAAAAATCAATAATTTTATTGATTGGTCTTGTATTCTAGTTTTTGAAAATAGTTTTAAAAACCAATTTTCAAAATAAGTAAAAAAAAAACGTATTTAATAATTTTAGTTTGGAACTTATTTTAGATGAAAAAAATGAGATTAATAAACGTAAATAACATTAGTGAAATTGTTAAGATTTTAACATAAAACTAATTGACAATATGAGGATTAGTGTAACATGTATTTAAATTATATTAAATAGCGACGAGACTTTCAACAGAAAACTAAAAATAGAAAATATTTTTTATTACTTTTATTTTGTTAATTTTAAAAAAGAAAATATAAAATAGTTTTAAAAAACTATTTTAATAAAACAATAGTTAAAAAATAAAAATTTATTTTAAAACCAATAAACAAATAATTTATAATTTTCTTAATTTCCTCGCATTTTTATCAACTATGAGTTTCTGTAGTTTCATAAAAGAAAAAAATTCTATTAAAATAATTGCAGCTGAATATGGAATAACAGACCCATGTAGCTGCATTTTAATTGAAACCACTTGTCTTGTCTTCTTTTGAAGGCCCAGTTTTATTTTATTTTCTGTTTTCTAAGAAAAAAATAAATTGTTTGTTTTTGAAAGCACTCTTCTCAACCATTAAGCTATGTTTGGATTGGGGCGAACAAAAGGTGACGCGAATTTACAAAGAAAACACTAAAAATAATATATAAAAATCATTTTTTTTCTCATAAATAATAAATCTCTTTATATGTCTCAATTTTTTTAAATATTATTTTTTTAAATAAAAATATTAAATTAAAATGTTATTTTTTAAAATTAATAAACTAATATTTTAATTAATCTAATCAATCTTATTTTTCTATTTCTTTTTCATTTTTTTCTCCATCTAAACAACTCAAATTTTATATGTTTTTCTTATTTTCCATCCTCTCAAATTAGGCATGGCAATGGGCGTGGCGAGGCGGGTTTTGCCTCCTCCGTCCCCGCTCCCGACTTTTTAACCATCCTCGTCCCGTCCCGATCCCCGTCGGGTTAGAATTAAGTCCCGTCCCGCTGGTTTCGAGTTCCCGCCTGCCCGTCCCCAATTTATATTATTTTAAAAAAGATAATTATATTTATAATAAATTCATTTTACTATGTATTTTTATATATAAATAAATATTTATAATTTATAGTTATTATTAATTAAATATACATTTTAATTTATTATATTTATATTAAAATATATATGTAAAAGAAATATTTAATTATTTTATATATATATATATCTAATATTTATAACATTATTATTATTATTATTATAACACTCGTATTCAAATATTTGAATATTTATAACATTATTATTATAATATTGTATTCAAATATTTGATTATACATATAAGTTAATTCATTTTTAAGTTGTCAACATATAGTTTATAAGAAAATATTTAATAAGTTAATTCTTATTTAATTAGTTTGAAGTAATAAAAGTTTAAATTATTAATTTCTTTTAATCCTTTAAAATGTAATTATTTTATTAAGATAAAATTTGATATATGATAAATAAGCATAATAAGATAAAAAAATATGACATAATAAATATAAATTATAAATAAACTAATATTAGTTACTACTAAGATTGATGTAAAATATTTAGAAAAAGATAAAGAAAAAAGATTATCTTTGTGTTCATCAAATTGGTTGAAAAGATTGAAAAAAAAAACAAATTGATGGGAGAGACTAAGAAAATGTGAAAAACTGAAAGATAAGGGAGATAATAATATAATAAATTAATTGAAATAAAAGATTAAAAAAAATAAAAAAAATTAAAAAGTGGGTAGAAGAAAAATAAAAAATGGTGAAATATTAAAAAAATAACCTTATATGTAATAGAAAAAGAAAATGAAATACTTTTAAAATATTAATATTTTAAAATTTAAATTTAAATATAAAGTCGGGCGGGAACGGGTCGGGGTCGGGTGGGGATTGCATTACCCATCCCCGCCCCGCCCGACTTTTAAAGCGGGAAAACCCGACCCCGTCCCAGTCAACTCGGGTTTTCCCAGTCAAACTCGGGCGGGACGAGTCGGTCCTCACGGGTATGGGTTTAATTGCCATCCCTATCTCAAATCCATTCTTTATTCTAATTTTTTAGTGTTATCCGAAAAACATTTTACACTGATTTTATTTAGTTATATATAATAAAAAAATAAAAAAATTTAATTTTATCTTATTAATTATTTTTTTATAATTTCATATTTAAAATAAATTATCATTTTATATTATTAAATTAGTAAAAAATAAAACATAAAAAAAATAAATCTAGGGTGAATGAACTTATCCTCTTCCTTTCTCCTACTAATAAAATTATTTTGTATTTATTATAATGTTTTATAAAATTTGTTTTCATTAATGACAACATAATATTATATGACATTTTTTATTTCAAAAATATACTATGAAAATTCATTAACATATAAAAAATGTATTTTTTTAGGTATATTTGACATGTTATATTTGTTACTTTGTTAGGTATATTTTTTAAAAACGTGTTTAAGTTGCTAAATAATCTTTTTCAATACTGTATTTGTTTCAAAAGTATTATAGTTTTCAACTATTAAAAAATGAATTCGCCTATATTTTAAATTTTTGTTAAATATGTTTATTCTGATTAATTAACAGTCACAAATTAATATTTTTTTATAATAGATAAAAAAATGATATATCTTTAAAAAGGTAAAATTATTTTAGTAAAATTATTTTAATAAAGTTACATTTTATTCTTCATATGAAAAAACTTTAAACTGCAGATGTTATAAGAAAAAAATTTGTAGTTTGTTGTAAATGCTACTTCAATTAAACGTGCTAAGATGTTAATTTATAGCTACATTTTATAATTGTTCTTTTATATTAAAAATATTTCTTGAGTTTATTTTAGTTATTTTTATTCAAAAAATCTGATTACAATTATCTAACAATTGAAAGTAAAAAATAATTAAAATTTCTGATCTAAAAATAAAGCATCATAAAAATTTAAAATTAATTGAAATTAAAATAATTTTTGGGAGAGTGTATTACTATGCTGCATTCATCATTAATCTAAAATGACTATTTAATTATACTTTAATGAAAATTATTAATATTTTGGTCCTAAGTTTCATACTAAAAGTAATATATGCAAAATATCGTAAAATCTGAAGGACGGAAAGTTGTGAAATTGATATAAAAACGTAAAAGAAACAATCATTGTTTTAGGTCCACGCAACCATTTAAAATATTTTACCTTTTAAAAAATTTAAATATTTAGAATTCAAATAAAAATTCGGGTGAACCCATTTAAACAGTTCACTAGTTTTGACAGTTTTTGTTTAATTTTTATCCAATTTAATGTTACCATTTTTTAAAAATAATAGACAAATTTCAGACCCACAACTCCAATTCGGTTTTGATATTAATATTAATTATTAGTTTAGACTAATTATTATTTTTTTACATGGTTATATTTTTTTTGTTTTCTCTATTAGATATTGTTGATTAATTTAAAAAAAAAAAAGAGATCTAAATAGTTAAATTATTCCTTTATGACTGTTTTAGATTTATAGTTTTAATGCAAATTAATTACTGTTTAAATACAAAAAAGATGATTTTTTTTTGGCAAACTTGAGTTTTTACAGTTGAGAAACTGTAAAAGTATGGTTATTTGATTTGGAAGGAGTAAAATATACGATATTTCAGCACCTACCTACCTGCAATTCGTGCCAGAGAATAGTTTGAAATAGTTGTTGATTGAGTTGTGTCTAACATAAATTACATGAAAATGACTCAACAACCTACACTATATATAGGCCACCAATCTAATTCTGCTGCTATGAGCAAGACTTAACTGTTAGACTGTGACAGCCATTCAGACATGGAGAAAATGAAAGCCATGGACTCCCATTTCACTGCCCCTTTAAACAAGGCTTATCTGCACTTCTGTAGTTTTTTATATTCAAACTTTTTCTATTCAACATGTATCATCATAGCAGTTAATCAGCAACCTTGACTTCTTATACGCATCTCAGCATTCACAATATATATGCACCACAAAATTCAGATCAAGGGAGGAATAGGACAAGAAATTATTCCATTGTTTAAAATAACTTGGCCTTAGGTGACATGTCGATAACTCTATTTATGTGATCATAGTTTATGAAAAAAGAGTTAACGTGTCATGTAATGTAATGTAAAGATTGACAGACATGATATCAACGTGGATGTGCGAAAAAAAAAAAAAAAGATAAATAAGTGACTAGTGATGAAAAGCATATTGCTTGGTAGTTTCTAGTGATGAAAAACATAACAACTGAAGCATGTGCTTGCAGTCGTATAAGAACCAGAAATATAAACAAAAGGAATCAAAGGGATTCATGTCCAATTAAACATCTTTCACATGCACTGATAGTGAGATATCCACGTGAACAGCACTAGAGCCATTAAGATAATCTCTAGGACTATGTTTGATTTTTAGTTGAGAAGTCCTCAACATCCACTCAAAAAGTAAAATTGAAAAGGTTTCTTTGATTTTCATCTGGGTTTGATTGTAAACTGCGATCAAATTGAAGAAAAGAGAGAGAGTTCTTTTGTAAACTGAAGTTCATTCAAACTTAAATTAAACTTTCACTAATATGAATGACAAACAAGCTTCTATTTTGATGTAGACAGTATTCCACTTGTGGAGCAATCAAGGCAGAATAAAATTGAAAACTATAGCCACTCGTACAGACCCCACCCAGAGGATCTCCTGCATCATAGATCATATTTGATATTTTCATACTCTGCAAGATATCATATAGTTAAAGTATACAAAAATCATGAGGTATGTGAGCTAAGAGATATAGTATATTTTTCACACTTTATGATGTTTTTTAAAATAACTTTTGAGACTTGTTTACATCTCTGATTAAAACATTCATCTCAAAATCTGGAGTTCATACAAGTTTGGATCTGCTATCATGTTAATTAAATTTTAGATAATGATGTTGGAAACGTGTCTTTTACATGTTTCATGTCAACTCTGGAATTTATATATTTTCTTTCATCAGATAATGTAAGAACTTTCCAAGAAAATGCATCATTGATGTCCTATGATCAATTGCCTCACTATGCTTTTGGGTTGGATTCGTTGAATTATCATTGATTAATATTTTAACCATTAGAAGACAACTTTCTTCAAAAACCGATCAGCAATCAAAATATTGTGTTCTGTTTTTGTCTCCTTTGTCATCTTATAACTTAATAATTATTAATAGGATGTTGATTAAGTTGAGTGCCATAGGATCATTTTCGCTGGAATTACTGATAGTATTCCTTACTTTACCTTGTTTCAGTTATAAAGTCATTTGCATGTTAAAGATACTCTATTAGAAGTTAGAGCAAAGTATATCTACTGGGGATGACTTGGGAATTTATTAAATTCACTTTTCTGATTTCATCTATATCTTTTGATTTAAGTATATACATAAATGGCATATCAATTGTTCACAGTTAACAAGGATTAGTAAGGTTAGATACAACCATAGATGAATTTGTTTGGTGATAATATCTACTAAAACGTTGATTAAGGAATCAAGAACTGGAGAAGGAAATGAATCAAATTCCAAGCCGGTGTCTCCCCTAACAGAACACCAAGTCAAATGGGGAGCATATGAACATGCCATGTGATTGCCAACTCGTTGTATGCTAATGAAAAGATATCATTTAAAACAATGCAAATCATCAGCGTATGACGGGTAAGATGGGACCTATCCCTGTTAATTTCATTTACATGTACATGTATATGCATTAAGAACCACCGCATGCTAATTTAGCTTTTGTTAGAATACATCATTTGCATGCAATTTATCAAGTTCTAATATCAATTTCTAAATCTACCTATTATAAGCTGTGAGGGTATTACATCGTCACTCAACATACTTTTGACACATGGATCAAACACTTTACTACATTCAGTCACCACCTAAGCCAACCAATTCAGTTGCTTAATAAACGTTGATATCAGGGCCCTCTGACTCATGAGTACTCCCCATGCATAGTCTGAAAGTGAAAAATAATCTGATTTGACTACGTAAAAGGTAACTGTGCTTGTTTAAGTTCATTTATGTAGTTTTTCAAGTTCATTAAACAATCTTGCAGGGAACTTGCTCAACATATATAACATAAAAGTTGTTCAACCCATTTAGTAGCCTTTGCTTATAGGAATGGTAAAAGCTAGATGACTTCTTGCAAGGGCTTGGTATCAGGACGAAAAATTGGGTAGGGTCAACCAGGAAAACAAACAAACAAATTATCCACTAGAAAAAGAAGGCTAACAAAAACAAACACTAGAACATTAACCCTATGTCTTAACTACACGGATAGTGTGGGCACGAGCACTTCTTCAGGACCCCTACTCAATTATTTAACAGTGGATCGTGCAAGGTCTTTTAACTTTCTGTAGTTCATGACCCCTGTAACGGACCCTCAACTGAACACTATCTTACCCAAATATGATTATTTTACACGGATGCTGCATGTTCTTGATCTATTATCACATGGTTTCTGATCTATCTCATTCCATATTAACCGACAAGGGAAATTACTCACACACCCTTGAGGCCACTTATGAGGGTTGAACTTCCTTTAGGGATAGCATGGGAATTGAAAAATTCTTTTTCACTTTAGACTTTGGTGGGCAAGGAATCTTATTATCTTAATCTGTGACAGTTACGTAATGCTGCAGATTGTGGCAAGTGGCTTACGCAGGGAGCTTCCTCTGTGCTTTTTTTTTTTTTCACACAACCAGGCCTTACCTGTTGCATGGCGTAGAGACCCCCAAAAAACATATTCTCAAAATGGTGGTTAGTATTTAGTACGGAAAAGATGTGATGAGACAGTGAGTTTAGGCTGTCAAAGCGTTATCTATTTTTAATAAGGGGGCCATGGTGTTGAAAGCAACTTATCAAATGTAGGCATGAAAGAGATCTACCAATCGTTTTTGTTACTCTTTTTAAGTTGTTACTACTTGCTAGTATCCATATCAGCTTATTAGGTGCTTGAAAGAGATGGGGAAGACAAGCAAATGGCTTAGAAACTTGTTGACAGGTAAGAAGGACAAAGAAAAGTTGAAGGAAAAATCTACAATCGACCTGAATTTTTCTTCGAATGGAACAGAAAACTCAGCCACTCCAACTTCCACAACCCCAAAGGAGAAAAAGAGATGGAGTTTTAGAAGATCATCAGCCCCTACCGCAGCCACACCGACAGCAACTTCCAAGGAATTGAATTTTGTAGAACCAAATGTCAGTGATTCACAGACGGTGCAAGCTGACACTGATTTTCAGAACGAGCAAAGGAAGCATGCCATGGCTGTGGCTGCTGCGACTGCAGCAGCAGCTGATGCTGCAGTGGCTGCTGCTCAGGCCGTAGCTGCTGTGATCCGTTTGACTACTACTTCCAATGCAGCGCCTAAAAGCATTGAAGAAGCTGCAGCCATTAAAATCCAATCAGTCTTTCGGTCTCACTTGGTATTCCACTTTTATGGAAGCTAGTTTTGTCTTCCATTCTCAAGGGACTAATTGGTATTTATTTGAGTATGTGATTGTGTGATATGTATGTATCAATTTCAATGACAGGCAAGGAAAGCATTGTGCGCTCTAAGAGGACTAGTGAAGTTGCAGGCACTGGTAAGGGGTCACTTGGTGAGAAAACAGGCCAAGGAAACACTGAGATGCATGCAGGCTTTGGTGACGGCACAAGCTAGAGCTCGTCTTCAGAGGATCCGAATGGGTTCAGAAGGAATTCCTACTCAACAACAAACAAAAGCCACAGAGGATGATTTTTTCAGGCATATATACAATGTCAGTGTCATAACTGCTCTCAAATATCTTTTTACAGTAATATGATAGTTGAAAATGAAATTTCAAGCATTTATGTGACATAATATACATGATGATGTGAAATTCTTTGTTTATTTGCAGTATCTTTTCAGCATGATAACGAAATTTTACAGGGAAAGAAAGTACAAAAATTTAATTTTGAATTATGGCTAAAGCACTCTAAGAAATGTGCGTGTCATTGATATGAAATATGGGTTTCTGTACATATAGGACATGGAGAGAGGCTTGGAAGACAACATCAAGATAGTTGAGATGGACGTTGGTGAAACAAAATATAACTCCAGAAGCAGAAGCAGCAGTGTATATCATCTTGGACATGAAGAACAATCTAACCATAGATTTTCCACAAATTATTCAACAAATGATTCTTACTCAAAGGAAGAAAACTACAAGGTATCACCCCCTCCATCAGCATTGACAGAGTTGAGTCCAAGAGCCTGCAGTGGACATTTTGAGGACTGTTTGAGCACAGCACAAAGCAGCCCTCAGTTCTACTCTGCTGTGTCAAGAACAGACAATTCAAAGCACCCTTTTTCTTTCCATAGGCCAGCTTATGCAGAATCTATGTGCTATGACCACCCTTTGTTTCCAAATTACATGGCTAACACTGAATCATCAAGGGCCAAAGTCAGATCACATAGTGCACCGAAACAAAGACCAGATTCATTTGAGAGGCAACCGAGCCGGCGAAGAGCTTCAGTTGAGGGAAGAAATGTCCCAAGGCCAATGAGGATGCAAAGGTCATCGTCACATGTGGGTGCTACTGCAAAAAACTATCAATATCCTTGGTCAATCAAGCTTGATAGATCTGCAGTTTCACTCAAAGACAGCGAGTGTGGCTCTACAAGTACAGTGCTCACTAACACTAATTATTGCAGATCTCTTGTTGCATTTGACGTGAGTATACCACAACTTTTATTATACACTTGAAATCTGGAGATAGAGAAGAACAATTAAGAGTAACCATTTTATTGTTTAATAATAATATACATGTTTATATATGCATTCTTAATATCACTTTGTAACATTGTTGGGTCTGACAATGCTTTCATTGCTTGCTTTGACTGCAGCCACGTGGAGATAGGTACTGACGACTTGCTTTGACTGCAGCCACGTGCACCTTGTCTGACATAAAATAAAAGACTGTTTGCAAGAACACCAAAATCTAGAGTTAAGAGTTTCAGGTTGCTGAGTTTTTCTTTTAGATTTCAAAACAAAATAATAACTTGGCTTTTACAATGTAGAGTTGTTGCGAGAGATTTGATTGAAGTCCAATGGTTGTAGAGTTTCAGCTTCTATTCTTTTTCTGCCATGTTTGTGGATTACTTTGTAATAAAACATTGTAACGGTTCATGGATTGTAAAAAATTTACCTAGTGAGAGATCGTTAGATAAAAAGTATTGAAAATCAGAAGAACAAGCACAGTGGTAGTATTTCACGTAGAATTAAAATACAGATAAGTTTATAAATGAGTGTTTATTTTAAAACTAAAAAAATATACATGTCAATGTTAATTAAGTGTAATTTTCCTTAAAACAAAAGTTAAATCTAATAGATTAAAAAAGGTTTGGATTAAAGGATGCAAATACTATGTTAAAAACAAAAAACATTCTCTGTGCAAATTCTATGATATACTTCTCACTTTCAAGAAACATTAATCCAGTGCAGCCAAAGTTCTCCTCTCAAGATACATCACTTCCCAAATTAATTTTTAATAACAAAATTGTGTGGAATAGAGAGGTCTTTTTCCCCTCTTGTTTCTGAGTGTGTATTTTTTCTCAACAAACAGAAACTGAAACACGGAACCTTCGCGTAGCTACAACGTGCAACGACAAAAAATATATCAAACTGAAATTCTTTACTGTCTATGTAAAGAACAAAGACCCAATCAAATAAAATTCCTAAAAGATAGAAATTTAGAATATTAAAAAGGATAATGACTAGTTTTTGTTTTTGAAAAAGTCATTAAAACAAAACATTTTCACTTTAAATTACAAATATTCATGTATCGTTATTATTATGAATAAAAGTATAAGTTTGTCATCTCAGCTCAGGAGATCAAATAAAATCCTTAATTATTTAATAATTTATCAATTCTTTAACAAATATTAAACTTACAAATTTATTTATACATATTGGACAAAGTTAAAAATGTAATTAGAAATTGAAATTAAGAGTCAAATGGTGTAGCAAATGTTAAAAAAAAAAAAAAGAAAAAAAAAACTATAGTCAAAATACTTCCTAATCTTTCCTTCCTCGTCCAATGGAAGTAGTTGGAAATTGAAACCTCAGTTTGTTGAACAAAAGGTTGATAATATTTGGTCATGCGTTTATAAAAAAACCACCGACTTTGCTTACTTCAGCCAACTCTTTATTGTAGCAATATATGTTCAATAGTATTAAATCAGTTACAACTTACACGAGGACACCAGAGTTGAAATATTTTCCTTAAAAAATAAAACTTTGTATGAATTATTAAATGGTTACCTTTGTTGATAAGGAAAATTTAAATCTTCGATTTTGTGCATTAATTAAACCTAAGTCAATTTATAACACTTCTTTGGTTTCATATTTTTTAATAACACTAGATTAGGTAGTCATTTAAGTTTCATTGACTTTGATTTCATCTTCATAATTTTTTTTTTAATTTGTGTTCCTTATATTTTTTAATTGTTAGCCTAATGAATCATATGAAGATTTACTGACTGTTCTGTTTAAGAAGAAGGTTAATAAAATTAAGCTTTAACCTATCAATAAAAATTTATTTGATTTTAAAAATTCAGCATGTAACTCATTAAAAACATTATCAAAATTTACTTTAATTAAAATTTCATTCACAGTCCTCACTGACTATTTAATTACAAGTTTAGACGCACACTATATATTTTAGTCGTCTAAATTTAAAAGATAATTTTAGTTTCTAAACATTTAATTTAAATAATTAAAAACAATTTTAAAGATATTTAATTTGGAGGATTAAATCAAAATGACCATAAATTTCTTAAAATAAAAACATAATTAAGCATATATTGCTATCCCTTTCATTAATTAAAGAACAAGAAGGTATAATCTTGGAACTATATTCTAAAACATTTTTATTCTATAGCCAAAAGCCAAACCTTGTGGCCCATCTATTATATATGCCTGCCATTTAGGCATGGTATCGGGGTGGGGTAGGGTTTTGACTCCCGATCCATTCTTGACTTTTTTAATCGTCTCCATTCCTGTTCTTGATCTCCATTAAGGTTAAAAATTAAGTCTCTATTCCTGTTTCCGTTGGGTTTCAAGTTTCTCCACTTCGCCTCGTCCCCGTTTTATGGTATTATTTTAAAAGTAATTATATATAAATTATAATAAATTAATTTTAAAATTATTATCTTTTACATTTTATTTTTTATAAAAAATAAATATAATATTATAACTTTTAGAATATTATTATTGATTGAGTGTATATTTTAATTTATTACGTTTATATTAAAATATTTATGCATAAAAATATATTTGATCATTTTTTTCTTCCTATTATAAGTTGTTAATCCTTTAAAATTATTAATCCTTGTAAAGAATATATGATAAAAATAAGTTTCAACTAATGATCCTTTTAAAATAATTATGAAATACATTTAAAAATACTAATAAATAAGTAAACAAAGTTTCTCATGGAAAATAATATAAGAAAATTGAATAATAATGCATAACCGTGCATAATAATACATATAAGAAAAATAACAAATATTGGATAATTTAATGATCATCCTCCAAATGAGCAACAATACCACTGTCCATCAATCCACCTACATAATTTAAAATAAAATATATTATTGAAAAGAGAAATAAAATATTAAAAAATAAAAAATAATATTTTTTTAATAAATAAAATAATACCTTCATCACTAGAATTCATCTCATTGAGTAAAATAACATAGTCATCAATTAGTTGAGAATTCACACCACCTAAAAATAAAATATAAAGAGAATATAGGGATCACAATCAAACCCGTCCCCGCCCCGAGGTTGACGGAGAAAAATCGAGTTGACCGGGTTCGGGTTTTTCCCGCTTTAAGAAATCGGGTTTGGGGGCGGGGATGGGTAATACAATCCCTACCCCGCCCTCGTCCCGACTTTATATTTAAACCTAAATTCTAAAATATTAACCCTTTGTCTGTTTGTCTTTTTTTCTTTTTTAATGTTAATTATATTTAAATTTAAATCCTGATATATAACCTTCTGTCTTTTCACATTACCCTTAATCTTTTCACATTACTCTTAGTCTTTTCACATTATCTTTTTTTGTCTTCTTATAATACCATTTATCTTCTCATTACTTAGTGTGTTCCTTTCCTTCACTTTATTTCCATTTATTCTTAATTTCTTTGTCTTTTTGAATCTCTTCACAACTAGCCTTAGTTTAACTCACATTTGGCTTCTCATATCTCTTTAACTAGTTTGAGTTCTTTGATCAACTTCTTCAATATTTTCAACCAATTTATCAAACGCATAAGGTAATTTTGTGTTTATTTATCTTTTTCTAAATATGTACATCAATGTATCATTTTATTTCTAATTTGGTTTTATTAAGTTTCTGTTATATCATGTTTTCTGGGTTTACTATTCTTATTTATCATATACCATATCTTATGTTAATTAAATAATTATATTTTTTTATCTTTTATGATCAATTTAAGTCTTATTTTAGAAGAAATAAACAAAAGATTTTTTATCTTTAGGCAATCAATAATACATGACTTGTTTATGGTGGTAGAAATTTTTTTTTATATACAATGGAAAATAATGAAACAACACAAACAAGTGGTGAAATTTTTTTTTCTTACTCACAATTTTACTTGACAGTGTATCATGTTTCAATGTAGTATTTACAAAGTTGTCCACAGGGATTTGTGAATTAATGATTCTAATTTAAGTGAATCTTCATACTTAACCATGTACAGATTTTGAAATCAATTGTAATCACACATAAACATAAAATTAGAACAGTGAAAGAAATTTAACTAAAATGAGTGATTAAATATGATGCATTTTCTATTCTACCCTTTTCTTAACCATCATGATTCTGTTAATCCAGTTTCATTCTCCTTAATTCACTCAGTATGATTCCTCAATACTAAGACTTAAGATGTTGACTTTTCAACATGATTCCTCAATGAATCAAATTTAACATCCAGCATTAAACTTTCACTCTGAAGATTAGGGACAAGTAAGACCAAATATATTCCTAGAATTTAATTTTACTTGGTGTCTGAACAGTTCCAGAATTTCAGATTTTCTTCCGAATACCTCAAAAACCTAAGTCTTAATCTAGTTAATCAAACCAAATTAAGTAATACGCACATAATCAAATACAACTAGGTAAACAAAAATTAATTACATTCAGAGAATTGCAAAATAGAATTTACATCATATTCAATCTAGAGAGTTTAGCTCCTCATGGGAGAACGTACAGAGAAGGGAGAAAGTACAGAGAAGGGAGAAAGAAGAAAATTACAGAACACGAGTAATAATGAAGGTAGATCCTCGTTCCTAAGCTATCTGACCTTCTATTTTGCTTTGAATCTGTGTTTCCTGAAGATCTGGTCGATCTCCTCTCCATCTCTCTCTTTTTTTCTTTTTGGTTTCTTTCTTTGATACCTCTCTCTCTCTCACTAAAAAACTATTTATATTAAAACAGGGGTTCATCATCCGCTCAGTGCTAGTTAATCCACTGGGCAGATATGTAAATACTTCAGCTTGAAGGAACCTAATCCGCTGGACGACATATAATTCGTCAGGCGTATTGAAGCTTGAAATTCCCATTTAGTTGCGGCTATAATTCCACTGGGCGCACGAAATTCTGCTGAGCAGATTGAAATAGAACTTCTGTTTACGGCCTCATATCCGCTGGGCGCCTGGGAATCCGCTGAGCGGATGTAGAAATTTTAAATTGTTGGCTTGCATCACCAAAAATATCCAAATTTTAATACATATTTTCCAAAAACACAGTGAGGTTCTAGAAATTATACCTTGTCATAAATTTAATCAAATAAATGTATTTTTGCAAGGTAAATTTCTACTTATGCATCATTAAGTGATTAGTTATGAATGTAAAACATGTAATATGATTCACTTAACAGCAAGTACGCATGAATCATTGTTAAAAGAGAATTCTAACCTTGAAGGTCCTACTCCTACACCAAATGAAGTTCCACCAGTAACTAGAGATAATGAGCATGATGAGACTATATCATTGGGATCAAATCGGTTTAAAAGTAAGATTTGACAACATTTTTAAAAGATTTAAGTTAATGGAGAGGACAAGGCTCAGTGCAATTATTGTAAGAAACTTTTGGGAGGAAAATAAAAAAATGGGACGAAACATCTATGGCAACACAATGATAATTGTATTCAATTCAAGATTTCTACTAAAGGGATAAAAGGACAAATATTTCTTACCCCTAAAGTTATGCAAGATAAACAAGAGTTGGGTACATAAATTTATGATGCAGAACATGTAAGAAAAGAACTTGCACATGCAATTATTATGTATGAATATCCACTTTCAATTGTAGATCATATTGGTTTCAAGAGATACTCATATGCTCTCCAACCAGTATTTCAGGTTCCTTTTAGAAACACTATTAAAAAGGAAATATTCAAAGTCTACAAGTCTGAGAAATCAATAATTTTGAAGTCATTGGATAGCCTTGAAGGAAGAGTGACTATAACATCAGACATGTGGACTTCAGGTAATCAACAAAGAGGATATATAGTTGTCATTGCTCATTATATTGATGATTCTTGGAACTTAGAGAGTCACATTTTAAGGTAACAAATAATTTCTTAGTCATATTTTATATTGTTTTTATTTTCGTATGGTAAAATGATTGAATATTTATTAGATTTATGTGAATATTATTATGTTAGGTTCATTTATGTTCCAGCTCCTCACACAAGTGATAGACTTTACAATGCATTAGTTGAATATTTGATGGATTGGAACATTGATACAAAATTATTCACTATCACCCTTGATAATTGTACTACAAATGATGCTATGGTTGAAAAAATTAAGAGTAAACTGCAAATTAACACTTTATTTAGAGATGAATATTTACTTCATATGCGTTGTTGTACTCATCTTTTAAATGTGATAGTCAAAGATGGGCTAGAGGTAGTGAAAAATGAAATTGAAAAAATTCGGGGTAGTGTAGCATATTGATCTGCAATACCTAAGAGGAAAGAAAAGTTTGAAGAAACAGTAAAACAATTGCGCATCTTTTGTACTAGGAGCTATTTTCTGCTACTAAACATCCAACTGCTAATTTGTATTTTTTCAATATATGTGAGATTAAATTGACATTGACTGAGTGGATTGCATCTCCAAATGAAGTGATTAAAAAAATATCTGAGAACATGTTGTTCAAATTTGATAAGTATTGGAATGTGATTCATGTTATTATGAGAGTCGCTACTGTTTTGGATCCTAGATACAAAATGGAGTTACTTAAATATTATTATGAAAAGTTGTATGTTCATGAATACTTTTTGCAAGTTAGGATGATTCGTCAATTATGTTATGACTTGATTTCTGAGTATCAAACAAAAATGAATAAAGACACATTTGACGAGTCTTTAACAAAAGATGATACTAATGTTGTTGGTGATGCATTAACTGAGTATGACAAGTATATTTTGAGAAAAAAAGGGCAAGAAATACATATATTAAAAAAGAGTTAGACCATTATTTAGAAGAAGAGGTTTTACGAAGAAAAACTGATTTTGATATTCTAATGTGGTGGAAGTTGAATGAAAAATACCCAACACTTCAAGCAATTGCTAAAGATGTACTAACTATCTCTATCTCCACTGTAGCTTCTGAATCTGTATTTAGTATTAGTGGTCAAATATATATTAAGCCCTCATCACAGTAGATTTCATTGGACTACTTTAGAAGCTTTGATGTGTGCTAGGAATTGGTTATGGAGTACTGAAAACAACAGTATTGTTTTATATACCTTTTTAAATATATATTTAATGATTGTATTTTTAGATTTTAACAAGTATTCTCTTTATATTTTTAGATTTTCAATATATTTTTATATTTTTTTGTATCTTTAAATATATTTTTAGATTTCCAATATATCTTTTAGTATAGCAGGTAATTTTTGTGCTGCTCTCTTATTGACTGACTTTGTTCACATTCTGGAGTATAGTTTTAAGTGTGTTCCTTATAATTATGGGTAGAGTTATTCGGTACACATGCCCCTTTTATTAGGTTGTGACAGGATGGCTATCAGTTGCTCTCTAAACATGTTACCAAATTTAAATTTTACAATTTTTGTAAAAAAATTTTGGTTTTGTGTAGCTGCTCACTTGTATAGGTCATCACATTGAGAAATTTTATTTGTTCTGTTACATACGTATTATTTTCTTGTTGGAGATTTTATTTCTTTATAGTTTTGGTATATTTTATGGAATGATTTTTATATTTTTGTGTGCTTATTGCATTTGCGCCTCTATTGGGAACACACGGTTTTATATTTATAAAGTTGTGACTTTATAGTTTTATATTTTTATATTTTACTATTAACCTTAGGATTCAAGATATTGATATTATGGTTTCTTTTTATTATATTAGTGTGTAATAATTATGTTAATCAATGCAATTAAAGAAATATTGTGTCTACTTAAAAATTCAACTTTGACTTTTATTTTAAAATTGATTTAAATATTGCAACAATAGATAACTCAACATTAATGATATATCGATAACTCAAAATTTATATTATTTTATATTGATTAAGTAATTTAATAAATAGTTTTTACCAAATAACTATTATTTAATAAACTAGTTTAGCAATTTTCAAACTATTAACGTAGACCTATGAACTAATCAAATTTCAATCAGTTTTCTTCTTTTAATTAAATTTCCAGTTAATTTTACCAAACATAATTAAAGTAATACATGAAATAAAAAATTCTAACCCTAACCCTTACACTTTATGTATTAGTTTCTACTTTTTATCATTTTATTTTTGTATATTCTAAAAGTTGTGACAATATTTACAATCTTATTTAAACAGGCAATGATCACCACACTAATTAATATAATAGAAGTACGATTTGATGTTATTTTTATTTTGTTTTAAATTCAATTAATTAGAGTTTCCTTAATGTATGACATTAATAGTATAAAGTACACAATATGAAAAACAATATAATAACTTAAACAAAAAATGTGATTAAAATAATTGATCCTTGGATAAAAATTTATAATAATCAAAATGAAAAAACATTTCATGTTTTTAACCGATAATGAGCCACTTTAATGAATTAATCATTGAATTTTTCAAATTTACGATTAACAAATTTTAACTAATTAGTAATTTCTATAATCTATGTTAAACATAGTATTTTCCTCCTCTGGCTATCTTCATGACTTGTCATTCATTCGTCGTAGCGACACCAATGGAGATTCAGAGAAACCATGGAAGCAACAAATCCTATTTTCAGATTTCCAAATTTTTCTGTTCTTAAAGTTAGGGCAACCGTGGATATATTTAGCAAGGAAGTAGCATTAGATTGTATAAATACCTCTGGTTGCTGCAATAGCAAGGTGAGGGAAGGGGAAAAATCAAAAGAAGCACCACCAACAGCAGCAAAGAAATGGAGAAGAAATGTGTTGTTGCGTTGCTGTTGGTGGTGGTGTGCCTCATAGTAACTCCGAGTGCGGAAGAAGTAAAAGAGCAGGTTATGGACTCCTCGCAAGTGCAAGGTGAATGCTACGATTCTTGCTACAATGGTTGCCCTGTCATCCATCATTCTGTTTGCAACTGGTGGTGTCGTGGCCGCTGCAAAAACCCAGCCGTTATGGGATAACTTCGTCTCTCTTCCTCCATTTTCCTTGTCTAATCCTTCATGTAACTTTGTATAGTATATTTAAATAAAATAATTATATTTAAACAAAATAAATCATTAATTTTAATATTTAAAAATATTAATGCGGTGAGCGTGGATCGAACACGCGACCTTTAGATCTTCAGTCTAACGCTCTCCCAACTGAGCTATCCCCGCATTTGATTTCAATTTTACATATTATATTTAATACATAAAGATTCATAAATTCTTACTTGATATCTTAAAATACTACCATTAAAAAAAAGATGTTAAATGAAATTAAGTAATTAAGATCTAAAATATACTGGAAGAAGGTTTTGTTTTAATCATAATTTATGAATAAAAAGGTACTTTTCTCTTTATATAATTATCTTAAATGATTATTAATAAATATAATCATTTTAAAATTAGTGAGACATTTTTTTTAATTACTTTTTTTTTGAAATATGATATTTATATGAATAAACAAAACACGGAATATATTTTAATTAAACAAAATACATAATTATGACTCATGTCCTCTCAATCATTTATCATTTTCAACCTTATTTTATTATGACGTGAGAAATAAAGATATTAAGAATAGAGAAAAATAATTAAAAAAAAATTTAGAGTATTTTAAAATAGATGTTCTAGACAAGTTTGCATATTTAAAACTTGGATTTTATATATATAAAAAAATTGGAGAACAAGTTGATGTGATATTATACGAAAACTTAAAAATTAAAAAATAAATATTATATATCATAATGAATCTTGAGAACAAAATATAATATTTCAAATTATTTTTATTTTAACAGTATGATAGAAAATTAATTTTTAAGTTCTAAATTTAAAGTAAAAAAATAAAAATGTAAATTCTTATGAAATGACATAATGAAGACCATTTAAATTAGAAAAACATTAAAATATATTTTAAACTATTTTGACCGTACATTATTTATGTAGACTTAACAAATCGAGTTAACACATATTATATATAAAAATTCTTAACAAAATAAATATAAACCTAATATTTTTGAGATAATTAAGACACTATTACAAGATTTTTTTATAATAAATGTTAAAGAGGTAAAAATGTAATGGATAAATAATACATTGGAGTGTATAGTAATTTAGCAACTGAACACTTCCGTCTCAAAATAAAAGTTGGTTGCTAATTAACAAGGTAGCAAATCTATCTCTCAAAATAAATGAACCTAACATAATAATATTCACATAAATTTAATCAATATTCAATCATTTTACCATACAAAAATAAAAATAATATAAAATAAGACTAATAAAGTTATTTGTTACCTTAAAATGTGACTCTGTAAGTTCCAAGAATCATCAATTAATAAGCAGTGACAACCATATATCCTCTTTGTTGATTACCTGAAGTCCACATGTCTGATGTTATAGTCACTCTTCCTTCAAGGCTATCCAATGACTTCAAAATTATTGATTTCTCAGACTTGTAGACTTTGAATATTTCTTTTTTAATAATGTTTCTAGAAGGAACTTGAAATACTGATTGGAGAGCATATGAGTATCTCTTGAAACCAATATGATCTACAATTGAAAGTGGATATTCATGCATAATAATTGCATGTGCAAGTTCTTTTCTTACTGCATCATAAATTACTGTACCCAACTCTTGTTTACCTTGCATAACTTTAGGGGTAAAAAATATTTGTCCTTTTTTCCCTTTAGTAGAAATCTTGAATTGAATACAATTATCATTGTGTTGTCATAGGTGTTTCGTCCCATTTTTTTATTTTCCTCCAAAAAGTTTCTTACACTAATTGCACTGAGCCTTGTCCCCTCCATTAACTTGAATCTTTTAAAAATGTTGTCAAATCTTACTTTTAAGTTGATTTGATCCCAATGATATAGTCTCTTCATGCTCATTATCTCTAGTTACTGATGGAACTTCATTTGGTGTAGGAGTAAGACCCTCAATGTTAGAATTTTCTTTAAATAATGATTCATGCGTACTTGCTTGTGTTGTTTCATTATTTTCCATTATATATAAAAAAAATCCCTACCACCATAAACAAGACATGTATTATTGATTGCCTAAAGATAATAAATTATCTGTTTATTTCTTCTAAAATAAGATTTAAATTGATCATAAAAGATAAAAAAATATAATTATTTAATTAACATAAGATATGATATATGATAAATAAGAATAGTAAACCCAGAAAATATGATGTAACGAAACCTAATAAAACCAAATTAGAAATAAAATGATACATTGATGCACATATTTAGAAAAAGATAAATAAACAAAAAATTACCTTATGTGTTCGATAGACTAGAACTGGTTGAAAATATTGGAGAAGTTGAGGAGAGAACTCAAACTAGTTAAAGAGATATGAGAAGTCAAATGTGAGTTGAACTAAGAATAGTTGTAAAGAGATTCAAAAAGACAAAAAAAATTAGGAATAAATAGAAGTAAAGTGAAGGAAAGGAAACGTAATGAGAAGATAAAAGATATTATAAGAAGACAAAAATGGTAATGTGAAAAGATTAAAAGTAATGTGAAAAGACTAAGGGTAATATGAAAAAACAAAGGGTTATATATCAGGATTTAAATTTAAATATAATTAACATAAAAAAAAAAAAAGAAAAGAAGACAAACAGACAAAGGGTTAATATTTTAGAATTTATGTTTAAATATAAAATTAGGACGGGAATGAGGGTGGGGTGGGGATTGCATTACCCATCCCTGCCCCGAACTCGATTTTTTAAAATGGGAAAAACTCAAACCCAAATCCGGTCAACTCGATTTTTTCCCATCAACTTCTAGACGGGATAGGGACGAGTTTGATGCATTGGAATATTTAGGGCATGTTTTATTTTCTAGCTTAATTATATGACAAAAACTACATGTAGTAGCGTGCAGTTTAAGTTTATATATACTCAGCCCTAAAGATTTTAATGGCAATTCTCATGTATAATTAATAAAAAAAGTGGGTTGAAAAATTCTTATGTTATCTACCAACTAATAATGTATAAAAATGAAGTCAAAAGAAAGAAAGAAAACTAACAATGTGTCGAAGCCCTTTCATCTTATCTTATTCACTTCCTATCTTAGTTTTTAGTTTTCGCTTTTATTAATTCAAATTTTCACCTACTTGATCGAACAACGACAACTTATACTTATTTTCGCTTTTATATATATATATATATATATATATATATATATATATATATATGTGTGTGTGAATGTGTCTCAAAGTTCCATGATTTTATACATTATTTCACTTACAATTGTTTAGTGGCATGTGTTTTAATTGAAAATATTTAAAAAATAAGACTGCAAATGACATGGCTGAGATCGTGTTGTTTGTGTTTTACTTAGTCTAAGTCGTTCTGGTATGGTACATTGACTTCAAGGAACCAACATTCTAGAAAAAACCTACGCCAGCTTTTCTATTGTCGCCCTTGTAATTTTCTCTTGTTTTGTGCACCGCAATGCAAATTCTTTATATATAGTTTACCCACTGATATATACGTTTCACTTAACAGTAACAAAATTTTGCTATCACATATAATATATTTTTATTCCTCAAAAATTTTGTTATCTTTTTTTTTCTTCTATTTTATTTGTAATAAAATAAAACAATGAGAAGTGATATCTTCCTTTATTATCTTGTGTCGGTTGACTTTGATAGGCTTCCTATCCTTTATGATAAGTATATATAAATCAAGTGGGATAAAAATAATTAATTGGGTTTCGTATTAAGAGAAAATGATTTCCATAAAGAATTTTTTTTGTTTAACTTAAATTTCAAGCATGCTTGAATCGACCATGTAGCTAAGTTTTATTCTGATCTAATTACCTACTCTACCGTCTTAAGTCTAACTCATCATGAGGACTTGGATTCATGAATTTCACTGTTTAAAAGAATTTTAATTATATTAATTTTTAGTAAACGACACCTCTATTTATGCCACTTGAGTTACATGAAGTGGTCACGTTAATTGACTATAACAAGGCAACAAATGCAGCAAAGGTTAGTCTAATTTGCTGAACGAAGAAATGAAAAGACTGAAAGATACCTGAACAATAGGGACATAAGGAATTGAAGGGAGCTGATGGAACGTATAATAAGTTCCTACCTATCAAATTCATAGCTTTGCTTTCAGACACAGCATAAAAAATTGTTGACTTTTCTTACACATTCACTGTATCATGGAGGTTCTATCATATTTATATCAATTGCTCAACAACACGACCACGAACACTGTCATTTATATAAAGATTAAAGAAACATTAACTATTTAATTCGATTTTTTTTTTCTAAATTTAGATTTTGTGTAACGTGAAAGCTTATTTATTTACATATTTTTTCACATTGAAAAAAAGTTAAATTATATTTTTAGTAATGTTAAATGGAAAAAAATTGACGATTTTAAGAGTACTTTACAAGAAATAAGTATAGGTAGCGTTTCTTTTACATTTAGTTATTATCGTTTCTTAGGCAATTATTTAGACATCAAATTTAACATAGTTATCTCACACAGCCAATGTGAAATTAGGCGAGGCACATTTGGTAGGTCAATACAATGCAACCAAAAATGAATTTGGTAATGGCTAGTTTTGTAGTCAAAGGGCATTAACATATATAATTTGGTTATAAAAATAGGGAAAATATGGTAAAAACCGTGTTTTTGGTGAGCTGAGGCACCAATTTCCTTCCAGCCACCAACAAACATCAGCATCTATAGATTACATGCATGCCAGTTCATTGGCAATTTGCCATGATGTACTATTAAAAAAATTGTGTACAGAATGAGAAAGGAACATGTAATACTTTGATTCTAGCTTCTTGGATTAGGATTATAGTCAAACTAAATCATACATAATATATAGTGCATTGTAAAAGTCATTACTAATATATAGCTTCCACCATCCACTAAATTTAAAACAAAAAAAATGACCAACATACTAGTTTATATTAGTTGCCTCTTTATAGGTTGAATGACAATTAAAGTTTTTTATACAATTTCTTATTATATAAATTAATTATATGTAATTCTAACAAAGAGATTTCACGTCTGATACTGTGTGTGATTCTTGTAAATCATGAAAATTTGTGATTCCTGATAATTATATCAAAGATTTATTTAGTCAATTATGAACATCTTAAAGAATGTTTACTCCTTTTTAATATGATAGATAATATGTTAAAACATATTTTATAAAGTAAATTTTATTTTTTATTTCCTTAAATACTGTCAAAAGTTTTTTTTTAACCTTTAACAGTTTCATCAAATAGGGAGAAACTAGCCAAAACTTTTGAACCTAATTTAGGTCTAATTTAAGCGAGTTGAATATAAAGCATGATACAAGTACTAGCAAACAAACTTATAATACAAAAATTTGGGAAAAGAATGCACCTAAAAAAGGGGGAGAAAGAAGAAATTATAGAAAGCAACAATGCATATGTCCAATAAGTCACATTCGTCATTGTCCCAAAATAAAAGCCTATAATCATCAAAAGCAGTCTAGAATTTAGATGTAATGTAGTAGTCCATGTAAATGTCTAACCAAAACAATGTCCCAACATTATTTTATGTCAATTTGCATCTCACCAAACTTAAGAAATTCCCTAACACCTTGCATATATAAATCCCTAGTAAGGTAAACAAACATAAATCAAAAACCAAACTCACCATCGTTAATGGCCTCTCATTCTCCCAAGAGAAAAGGCCCTTATCTTAATGTACTATCCCAACTCTCCCTCCTTGTAATTATCATCTCCTTCGTCAACCCTTCACATCAAGCAGAACACCATTCTCCCCCTCTCCCCCCTCTAAACCCAAGGCTTTCCAAAGCTTACGTAGCACTCCAAGCATGGAAACACAAAATCACATCAGATCCTAAGAACTTCACCTTAAACTGGTGTGGCCCCAATGTTTGCAGCTACACTGGGATATACTGTGCACCTGCCCCAGATGACCCTCACATCTATACTGTTGCTGGAGTTGACCTAAACCATGCAACCATATCTGGTTCCTTGCCAGAAGAACTAGGTCTCTTAACTGACCTAGCACTTTTCCACATAAACTCCAACCGCTTCTGTGGCTCACTCCCCAATAGCTTCAACCAGCTGAATCTCCTCCATGAACTAGACATTAGTAACAACAAATTCTCAGGACCATTCCCCGAGGTTCTTCTCTGCATCTCTTCGTTAAAATACTTGGACATCAGATTCAATGACTTCTATGGCAACATTCCCTCGCGCCTCTTCGACCTTAAACTCGATGCCCTTTTCATCAACAACAACAACTTCAAATTCTCCCTACCTGAGAATTTCGGGAACAGCCCTGTTTCTGTTGTTGTGTTTGCAAACAATGACCTCAAGGGGTGTCTCCCTCCGAGTTTGACCAAAATGAAGGGTACCCTTAACGAGATTATCATCACCAACAGTGGTTTAACGGGTTGTTTGCCTAGTGAGATAGGGGATTTGGACAAAGTGACAGTGTTTGATGTGAGCTTCAACAAACTGGTTGGAGATTTGCCCGAGTCTTTGGGGAAAATGAAGAAGTTGGAACAGTTGAATGTGGCGCATAACATGTTTTCTGGCGCGATTCCCGAGAGTGTGTGCATGTTACCGAGGTTGGAGAATTTCACATATTCGTATAACTACTTCTGCAGTGAGTCACCAGTCTGTCACAAGTTGAAGGACAAGGATGATACCAAGAATTGCATTCCTTATAGGCCATTGCAAAGGACACCTGATGAGTGTGCAGCTTTTTATAAATATCCCGTTCATTGTAGTGCCTTCGGTTGCACAATGCTGCCGCCTCCACCACCTCCGCCGCCGCCACCTCCGCCTCCACCACCTCCTCCTCCTCCGCCACCGGCAACATACTAACACTATCCCTGATGAGCGACTGCAAAAATAAAAGTTTGCAATACTTAATTTACTTTTTTTTTTTCTGAAATTTGTTCGTTATTTTTTTGGAGATTGAAATATTAGGTCGGTGAATATAATTACAGATAGTTTTCATTTTTGGTCACACGTTTACCTTGTAATTTTTTTTTAAGTGTGGAAATTAGCTATGTATTTCCACTATTCATTTGAAACTGGTTTGATTTGGTTTGGCCAGAGAACATTTGGGTCTTCACATATATTCTTTACTATTAACGAATACATTTTTATAAGAAAAAAATTTATCAACGATGGTGTCTTTTCGGTGTAAGTGGAATTCTAAAAATAGACGGGAAAATTTGTTGAAAACGATAGCGAGGGTAAAAAATTCGTGATTGTGATTTCCAAACCATCATTTTAGAGAAAACAAATTAACAAAACTTTTGTTCCGGAAATTGATCACTACAATACGAAAAGTTTTAAAGAGAAAAAGTTCAACCAAGAAATTGAGTTGTTATATGCCTTATTTTGTGCTTTGTACTATATAGGATATTATTTTCGTATTCAAAACAATTCATCCCCATTATTATTTACTTAGTCAATGACAATGATTTGTCTTCATATTATAAAAATGTTGGATGTGAAGTCCTTATCAGTTATCACTGTCAATTTTTAATATTTAAGTTTCACAATGACATAATTAATTTTATTTTTATTACAAATGCTTCCTAAGTCAATTTCTTTGTGTTTTTAAATTCTGGAATATATTATTCTGTTGCTATTTTTATTTTTTGAATTTTGATGTTTGGATAATTACTACATTTAAAGAGTTCATAATGATAAGTACAAATCCAATATGATTACCAAAAAGTGATGAATAAAACTGATAGAGAATATTAATTTGAGTTTTGAAAAGTTTTACATAATATTTTTAAAAATCAGCGATGGTGTGTCTTGTGGCTTCACATATAATTAAAAGGTTATAATTTGTTATAAGTATTGTTTTAGACTAATATATTTTTTTCATTTTAAAACTTAAAATATTAATAGAATTATTGTATTATATTTTTAAATGTTTAATTATACATTCATAATTAAAAACATGAGTATTCTAAAAAAAAAAAATCAATTGTGAATTTAGACAATAACTTGAAATCTAAAACGATTTCATCTATAAAAATATTTTAATACTTAAATTAATATTTAAATAAGATGATTTATAAATAATAAAATGATAATATTTATAAGTCTTTTATTAATATATTTTATATAAAAATTATATTTTTAAAAATATTTTAAAATGTTTTTATTTATAAATAAATAATTATATTATTTATTTTGTGTGTTTATAATATATTTTTTAAAAATTTAAATAAAAAATACAAAAACCACTCGGATTTGTTGAAAACATTAAAAAACAAATATAATATTTAAGTTTTTTTTTTAATGTTTAGATATAATATCATAATCCACCCTATTCAAAATGCGATGATATGTTTGTGAGTTTTTTTTATTTGATATGTTATTTATTCATTTTATTTTATTTATTCGATGTGAACATTGTTTGAATAAACTCTGATAATTTTATACATAATACTCCCTTCTTCTTTTGGTTCCAGATTTCCTTCACTTTTTCTCATCTTTTTCTTTTATCCTCATTTGACCCGCAATATTATGTGTGTAAAATTATACTTGTATTTTTTTTCTTGAATTTTATTATTATTGAAACAAAATGTTGTGTTATTTTCTTATAAATAATACAAAGCTCCAGAAACCACCATATTTAACTTTTGACACATTACGACATAAATAAATTATATAAATGAAATTTTGAAAACAAAATTTAGCTGTTTGAATTTTTTATAAAAAAATTAGTTTTTCAATTAAAAAAATAAGTGCACATACTACATACATTATTATTATTATTATTATTATTATTATTATTATTATTATTATTATTTTTATTTTTATTATTATTATTATTATTATTATTAAGTTGGAGTATAATGTATTTAGATGTGGTCTTCTCTGTTCAAATATTCAGATTATTTTGAATATAAAAAAGAAAAAGAAAAAACATATACCGATATTTAAGTAAATAAAAAAGTTTTTTTTTTCTTTTTTAAACTCTAAGATAAATTTCCTATGATTGAATCAGTTATTTAGGCCGTGTTGTGTAGGATATACTAACGCTTGTTTTTTGAAAAAATAAAAATGAAAAAAAATCGCAGGAATAGTTTTTTATGTCACAGCAGCATAAATTCGAAACAACACAGCCTTTGGACTCAGCCCAATCAGAAGCCCAAGCTCAAAAAGAGTTTTAACTAATATAAGATGGAGACAGTGTAACTAAGGTTTCGGGGTGTGCTTGGAGGAGACTTGAGCAGACTCTGAAGCGCACCAGCAGAAGCAGAGCAACAATGGCAGTTGGAAAAAATAAGAGGATTTCTAAGGGAAAGAAGGGCGGCAAAAAGAAGGCGTTAGTATCCATTTCCTTTACTTTTTGCTTTCTATATTTATTTATTTATTTATTTATTTTGTCATCTCTCATTTTAACTATATTTTCTTTCTTCTTCCATCAATCCGCAGAGCGGATCCCTTTGCCAAGAAGGATTGGTACGATATCAAGGCCCCTTCTGTATTTCAGGTCAAGAATGTAGGCAAGACTCTCGTCACCCGTACACAAGGCACAAAGGTATTTTCTTTCATTTCATAACTGAATATACATTGTCACTCTATATATTTATATAGAGCTCTACGATTTTATTCTCATGTATGGAATGAGACATACCATTGAATCACACAGGGTTGTATACATATAAATATATATTCACTCAAATTACTTAAGATAAGTTGGATTTTGCATTTGTTCTTCAGCCTCTTTACAGCACCTCTACAACGCCCGCGTTGTTTTATTTTCTTATTCAGTATCTTCTTTTAGTATAGCAGGTAATTTTTGTGCTGCCTTTTATTGACTGACTTTGTTCACATTGTGGAGTATAGTTTTAGATGTGTTCCTTATAATTATGGGTAGAGTTATTCGGTACGCATGCCCCTTTTATTAGGTTGTGACAGGATGGCTATCAGTTGCTCTCTAAACATGTTACCAAATTTAAATTTTACAATTTTTGTAAAAAATTTTTGGTTTTGTGTAGCTGCTCACTTGTATAGGTCATCACATTGAGAAATTTTGTTTGTTCTGATACATACGTATTATTTTCTTGTTGAGGATTTTATTCCTTTATAGTTTTGGTATATTTTATGGAATGATTTTTATATTTTTGTGTGCTTATTGCATGCGCTTCTATTGGGAACACACGGGTCCTTGATTGCATATCTATAACAGTTGCTTAGCTACATGCGGACTATCGATAGCGATTTACGTAAACTTTGTATGCTTATGTAGACCATGTTTGTTTCAAATAACAGATTGCTTCTGAAGGACTCAAACATAGAGTGTTTGAGGTATCATTGGCTGATCTTCAAGGAGATGAGGATCATGCATTCAGGAAGATTAGGTTGAGAGCTGAAGATGTACAAGGGAAGAATGTTCTGACAAATTTCTGGGTATGATAGGTGACTGAGGGTTGTTGTCTTCATTATATCATGTGTTATTTTTTTTTAATCTTTGATTTGCTAGGGAATGGATTTCACCACTGACAAGCTGAGGTCATTGGTTCGTAAATGGCAAACTCTTATTGAATCCCATGTTGATGTGAAGACAACTGATAATTACACATTGAGGATGTTTTGTATTGGATTTACCAAGAGAAGAGCTAACCAGGTGAAGAGGACCTGTTATGCACAATCAAGCCAGATTAGACAGGTATATTCTGCAACCTTAGTTAGATTCTCTAATTGAGCAACATTTTTAACTTTTAATACTGAAATATGTGCTCCACATTCAATATACAGAACATGTTCCTGCCTGAACTTCTCTGTATAAGAATCTGATGGATTTGAACTATAGAGTGAGTTGTGTTATTTGCTGCAATACTACATATCAATAACTAATACCACACCTTTACTTTTTCAGATTCGTAAGAAGATGAGAGAGATTATGACCAACCAAGCAACATCCTGTGATTTGAAGGAGTTGGTACGAAAGTTTATTCCTGAGATTATTGGAAAGGAGATTGAGAAGGCAACATCCAGTATTTACCCTCTGCAGAATGTTTTTGTTCGAAAAGTCAAGATCCTCAAAGCTCCTAAGTTTGATCTTGGGAAACTGATGGAGGTAATTGTTTAAAAATTTATTTTGTTTTCATTTTTCTTCTTTATCAGACTTCATGACTAATATGTTATAATTTCCTTTACCTGAATAAAAAACTTGGATGCCTATTTTGTGCTTTGCTTTTATTTATAGGATGTAACTTAATGTATGTTTCACAAGTAAAGGCCCGATTGACAATTTGTTCTAGTTTGTAGTACATGTCCAGGGTTTTTTGCATTCTTCTCCTGAACAGATGGATCAAAACTAGTCTTAGCATACTTTTCTCTATCATTACAGTCAACTTTCTTATGCATTTTCTTATGTAAACTGAAACAGAAATTTTGCTGTGTTTCTTTTTGATAGCTTCATTCCCTTTTTATCAAATCTTATGATTTGCTGACCCTTGCAAATTAACATGTCTTGCCAAGAAAGACTGTTTTCAGTGGCACTTGTTCTTCACCTTTTTAAGTGGATTGGTTTGACGACTTTGATGTTTGGCCCTTGTAGGTTCATGGTGATTATTCAGAAGATGTTGGTACAAAGGTAGATAGACCTGATGAAACAATTGTTGAGGAACCAACGGAAATAATTGGAGCTTGATTCAGTTATTGAGTTTGTTTTAGACTTTATCTGTATGATGTTATACTTGAAAATTAAGTTTAAAACTTCAGTCTCTGTGTAACCGACTAAACCAGTTTTGTTCAGACATTTTTGGTTCGTAATATTTTTGAATTTGTTTAAAATCTAAAGTCAGATTTGATTGCTTAATATTACTAATATTATTTTTGAATTTGTTTAAAATCTAAAGTTAGATTTGATTGCTTAATATTACTAATATTATTTTTGAATTTGTTTAAAATCTAAAGTCAGATTTGATTGCTTAATATTACGTGTATTTTGTCACGTTATTTTGTTAATACATTTGAATGTTAGTTAAAATTTTTCTTTTTGCAGGAAAAATAACTAGATGCAGAGACTCGTGTTTAGTTTCAAAATTGATCATATAATCATATTTTTCTTGTTCTGTTACATACGGTCATTAGTATAAGTCATCACATTGAAAACTTTGTTCTGTTACATACGTAATATTTTTCCTTGTTGGGATTATATTTCTTTATAATTTTGGTATATTTCATGGAATGATTTTTATATTTGTTGTGTGCTTATTGCAATGTCTATAACAGTTATATTTTGGTTGGGGAAAGTGAATCTTCCAAGGCCCTGCTGCATGTCTATAACAGTTGCTTAGCCACATGAGTACTATCGATAGTGATTAGGTGTGTGTAAACTTTGTATGCTTATATAGACCATGTTTAATTCTGCAGATGCACTTCTTCCTTAAGACCCCCTCACGAGAAAGACTATCACTCTTGAGGTTGAGAACTCCGACATCATTAACAACGTCAAGGCCAAGATCTAAACAGTGCAGAACAACAGCATATATGCTACAACTGGAACGGGAAGTATTAAAACCATTTTAAAAGTCTATGTTACAACAGCATATGATGTTATTCATATTTATTTAGAATTCAAATCATTACAAATAAACAATTGTGTACGCATGTGTATCCAATCATAACAACAATAAACTTAGCAAAATAATGAAAAAAGGCGAACAGGTCATTGCGGTGGATATCTCTTCGACTTTGTTATGGTCTTGGTGTTTATAGTGTTATTGTCTGAAATTTCAATCTTAGTAATTATGGCCTTACTTGCATATGTTTTCACAAATATCATAATATCATCATGAAGATCACAAATATCTGTGTACCATTACGAAGACCTTCAGGCCAACAAGGTCTTATTTTTGCCAGTAAACAGCTCGAGGATTGGCTGAGAAAGAATCAGCCCTTCACCTTGTCCTCCCCTCCATGGTCTTCGTGATGATATATAGATATTTGTAGAGATTTCTGAAGGTAAGATCATGATCACTTAGAATGAAATTTTGGACAATAATAATGTAAAGACCAAGGTTTTATTATATTGCTGAGTTTTTTTATTGTTAAGATTGGCTACGCATATCTACATAATTGTTTGTAATGATTTAAATTTTGGAATAAATGTAAATAAAATCCTAGGTTGATGTAACAGATATTTTGAAAATGTTTTTAGCATTTCCAGTTGTATCATTTGTTCTGCACTGTTTAGATTTGGACTTGGTTTGTTTATTTAATTATATGACAACGTTTTTAATAGTGTTATAATAAAGTTGATTGAAAATAAAATATATTAAATTTTCTGATTTTTTATAATAATGTTATTATATAAAAAAATAATTATAAAATAAATGAATAAAAAAACTTATATTATAAGATCAAATAAATAAATTACAGAAATAGAGTTAAATGTAAATAAGTTTTGCATCTTTAATATATTATTATTTTTTGAACTATTTTGTTCTTTAAATATTTGTTATGTTTTAGTTTCAATCACTTAAACCAAGATTTTATAATTTATTAGATATTTTATTTTTAAAATTTCTTAAATATTTAAAATAAAATAATAAATTGAATTCCTAATATTTATTTAAATCATGAAATATTTATTAGATATTTTATTTTTAAAATTCCTAATAATTAAAAGATTTCATTCTGAAAAAGTGGAACAATGAATAACATGATTTTCACGAACGTTGAACACAAGAAACCTGATAGATTATGATCATGATTACATGATTTTGAAGAAAATGTTGGGAAAAGCATGAAAAAAAAGGCTCGCCGTCATCCTAGAATGAAAGTGGCGAACTCGAACTCTTAGTTCTTAGTCTGTGAAGATACGTTGATAACATGAACATTGGACATGGATGTGCCAATAACAAAGTGTGGCTACCTGCATAAATAAACAGTGAAAGATTTTGCATGGATTTTTGAGCATTGATCACTAGCATGAGCAAGGCTGGGCAATCTTTGAAATGGGTTCTCTTGGATTCGATTCACCAGTGCAACGACTTGAGATCCTTCAAGCAAATCCATGTGCATCTATTGACTTCTGCCCTTGTTACCAATGACTTGGTTATTACCAAAGCTGCAAATTTTTTGGGAAAAATGTAATTGATGTACAATACCCTTGCAATTTCCTGAAGCAATTTGATTGGAGTTTGAGCTCTTTCCTTTGTAATTGGCTGATTTCTGACTATTTCTCTGGCTACACACCCTGGCTTGGAATATTGATTTATAGATGGACTGTTAGGAATGGTTTTGTGCTTGATGTGTACACTATTCCAGCAGTTCTAAAATCTTGTGTTAAGTTTTCTGGGACTGGAGAGGTTAAATAGTTTCATCCTCTAACTGTTAAGACTGGTTTGTGGTACGACATTTATGTGCAAAACACTCTTGTCCATGTCTATTTCTGGGGACATTGTTAGTGCTGGCAAGGTGTTTGATGACATACTTGTGAGAGACGTGGTCTCTTGGACTGGTTTGATATCTGGGTATGTCAAGGCTGGGTTGTTTAATGAGGCCATTGGATTGTTTTTGAGGATGGATGTGGAACCTAATGTAGCAACCTTTGTCAGCATACTTGGGGCTTGTGGGAAATTGGGGTGTTTAAATTTGGGGAGAGGGATTCATGGGTTGGGTATGAAATGTCTTTATGTGAAGGAGTTGGTGGTATGCAATGCTGTGTTGGATATGTATATGAGGTGTGAGTCTGTTACTGATGCAAGACAAATGTTTGATGAGATACCTGAGAAAGATATTAAGTGGGATGTTCATGTAGGAACTGCATTGGTTGACATGTATGCAAAGTGTGGTTACATAGACATGGCGCAACTTATTTTCAGTGGAATGCCTTCCAGAAATATCCGTACTTGTAATGCCTATACAGATGGTCTAGCAATAAATGGACATGTAAATGAAGTATATATATTTGAATTTGTTTAAAATCTAAAGTCAGATTTGATTGCTTAATATGATTTACGTGTATTGTTGAAGTATATTAGTTGAAATTTGTCTGTTTGCAGGAAAAATAACTAGATAGAGGTGGAGATTCTGTTTAGTTTAAATTGATCATATAATCATATTTACAGTTTGTTGCTGAAGTTTTGTAATTTTTCTATTTAAATTCTTGATGTAAAATTATAAAATATGTAAAATTTGAGTACAAACTTAATATCCCAAATTATCTGAGGTTTTTTATCTCATTAATATCAGTTTAACTAAGATTTTAAATAAATTTTATTAAATTAAGATAAAATTGGAAAAATTAGAATAAAACTGAAAAAACTGGTTGGATATTTGGGATGAATTAAAAAAAAAGTAGGATAAAAAAATAATATAATATTTTTATACAAATATATTATATATATTTTTCCGTTAATTTTAAAAAATTATTTATTTATTATATATTTATTTTGTTTTAATAATTATTTATTTTTTAATATCTTTTATGTTATAATTTTTATTATATTTTAATAATTATTTATTTTCAATAGTTTGTATTTATAATTTATGGTCAGGAATTTTTATTTTTTATAAAAATATTATTATTAATAAATCTATTATATTAATGAAAATATATTAAAAATATTATTTTATTAATTTTGATCGGATCCGAGTAAATTTCTTCACCGATCTGTGATTATTTTAAAAACATTGCATTAATTCTTTGTTCTGTTTTAAAAAGTGTTAATATTTTAGATATAGATGTTACGGCCCCGTCATCTGTTACCTGCAAAATGATTTTGGTACCTTTATTTTACATATTAAAATAGAAAAATTATTAAGTTTTTTTTATTGAGCAAATCAAATAAATATTAAAAGTATAAGACAACATTGCAATTAAAGAATGCATAAGTTTTATAATAAAAGTTGGAAATTCTTTCTAATTTTTTTCTCCAATAATCTTAACTTCTGTATTATTCTCACATATTTCATGCATCTTCTTCAAATATGTGAACATATCCTTTTCCTTATCAAATTTGTATCATTTAGATAAAATATAAAATTATAATCGTTTTATTAAATTATTTATCTTGGAGAGCCTTAACTTTTTGTATTACACAATCCATGAAATAATATTCAATATAAATTTTTAAGGTTTGATATGCTTCCCTTTCTCCTCTAATTTTGGTCGAAGATGTATTCAATCTTTTCAAGTGGTATTTTTTTCCAATATGCATCTTCATACTAAAAAAATGAACTTCTTTCTTCATTCACTCTATTGAGAAACTTGTATTTCGTTCAGTGGACTACACTCACACTTGAAAGGATCAAATATAGTAAACTCGTATTTTTAAGACAGAATAGTTACTTTTTAACATTTATCGCACATTCAACAAACTATGATTTATGTTATATATGTTGAAGTTCAACTGCAACAACTCATTTATTTTACTCCACATTTTCTCAATTTATATCCATGACCTATATAACTCACGTCTCTTTATCATCACTTACCAAACAATAAATATTCCTCGTATTATTCTTCATCCTTAATAACTTTAGCTTGTTGTAACTATGGTCATTTTTTTTTTTACAAAACTTCTTTACATGATCTAACTGATTAGTTTGCATCGAAAAAAAATAATATGATTATTTTTCTTAGAACGGGACTAGATGATAACTTATTTAAAAAAAAAAAAACTTTGTTTTCTTCATATTCTTCTCCACATGACTTTTCCCATATTTGCTCCCATCACTCATCCTTTATTTGGAGCACTTTCACTGTATCATTGTTCTATCATATATCATAAGCTCAAAAAACATTGTCTATTTAATATCACTTTTTTTCTAAAATTACATTTTGTGTAAAACTTAATATTTTTCAAGTGCTAAATTGTTGCTTTAATCATTTCTACCAATTTCCTCAATATTTTCAATGTATTTTTAACAAAATTCCAATTTTTTTCTTAATTAATAAGGTTATATTTAATTAATAAACGAATTTGAAACTCAATTAAAAATTTTGTTGGAACTTTTCTATTTGAAATTCATAATTTAAAATCTTAAGAAACCATAGATAAATTAATATTACTTTTATGCCTTAGTGTACGAATTAGATAAAAATATACTCTCTTAATACAATTACACATAAAACATAACAAAAAAACATTATCTCTTCTTATAATAGGTTAGTTTTAACTATTTCTAAAATATAATTTATTATTTTTACTAAAAACTTCTTTTATATCCCTTTATTATATATATATATATATATATATATATATATTATAAATATAATAGATATTTAATATTTATAACATTCATATTAATCATTGTCAATTATTGATTAAGTGTCTTATTGTGAAGATCTCATCATAGAATTTGTAATTAAAATAATCCAGTATTAGATTTGACATAAGTAGTGTATTTGAGGATAATTGTTTAGTTTTATTTAAATTATGATTTTTCAATATCAAATGTTAGAATGGAAGGAAATTTTGTAGAAAAATAAATTGAAAACAATAAATTAAAAAACTAATTGAAAATAGTAATTTATTATATTAAAAATAATAAATGAAAACATGTAAATGAAAGTAATAAATATAAATTAAGAAAATCTTGTAAATATAATTTATGAAAGTTGTAAAAAAAGTTGTAAATAAAAGACAAGTAAAAATATTGAATTAAATCTACTTCGACAAATGTTGTGAAGTCTTAAAGAAACATTGTAATTAAAGTTTAAAACCAAAACAAAGTAACAATTAAAATGCAAACATGAATTAAGAATAATGAAAAACTCAATAGAAAATTTGTGTTGATTCTCCAATTATAAATTTGTTTTTATGATTATTATTGATTCTTAAGAATTGTCTTATAATCACAAAAGCAAATTCACAACAGTTCCAAACAATTATAATCTAATTGAAATTTGTGATAACAACTTAATTCATAAATCAATCAATTACTTAAGCATAGAGATTGAATTATGACTTAAATGAGATATTCAATAAAATAACCTCAACTACATTAACTATAATGGATTTTAATCAGTTATAATCGTTAAAAACCAAATTTAAACTATAAAAAATAAGTTTTAATCGATGAATTAATAATAAAAATGAATTAGAACATGATTAACAAGTAGACAAACTAAAAATAACATGAAAATAGTAAAGAAATCAAATAGAAAAAGAAGAAAAATGAAAACAGAAGATAAAATAAAGAAACAAAGAGAAAGCGAAACAAATCTTATAAAAAATTATTTGAATTAATAAATTCGAGGACATCATTCATATAAGAAATTTCATGAACAAACTTAGAAGCTAAACATCACTAAAAAAAATAAAGAATTTAAAAATTAAAATTAGGAACTTAAAAAATTAATTTGTGACTCAAATTTAACTTATGTTTTTCGACCTTCAAAAACTTATTTATAGAATAACAAAGGTAGATGAATCAATCAAGACTCATTCAAAACCTATAATTACATGATAAGACTTAACAACATAATGGAGAAATGAGTTTTTGAGATCAATTTTGTCTCATTAGATTGTCATTTGCTTCACTCAACTATTCCTTCATTTGCTTGACGGAATGCTTTATTTACGAAAAGAAGTTTTTTGTACTGATTTTGCAAAGCATATTCCAAAGTGTTCAACAGATTCCCATAAGTTTATTTTTATAATTTCTTTAATTATTATTTCTATAAAAATAAATAAATAATTAGTTAAAATATATCGTTTAAGCAATGAATTATATTACAAATATATTTTTTACAAAAACTATATTAATTAATAATAATTAATTAAAAAATTATTAAATATATTAATAAAATGGGTTGATCAGTTATTAATATAATTTAAAATATAATAACAAATTTGTATGTATTGGTGCATTTGTAAGAGTAACACTAGGTAATGATTGTTTGGTTCTCCAAAAATTTCTGTAAAGATTTTTTGTCATTAAAAATTAGTATTTTTTTTTAAATTAAAATTATTCATAACGCCATAATTAATTCTACTATTACTACAAATAAGTATATTTGAAGCAAACAAATAACGGAGACTGCATTGAAAGATTCATAACAGAGGTGGTTGGAGAAAATGGAGGGATGATTGTTGTTGATCCTGTAATTCAGGAATAAGAACCAACAGAATAGAGGCTTCTTAGATCATTCCATTCTCCCCCTCCGTCCCTTATTATGTTTCATATTTATTGTATTGATCTTTTTCATTTCAAAAGATGTTTTTCATGCATCTATGGATTCAGTGAATTAAAACAATATTATTGCATTGTCCATTATTATCTGTATCCCTTACAAGTGTTTCATCAACACTCCATGGCGGAAAATATTCATATGGAGATGATCGATGAAGCTGATCTGAAGAATTTCATTCATCTTATAAGGACCATCATTACTGGGTTTAGAACAACCAACATGCATCTTAAGTTTACACCACATATCGTATTTATGTTTCTCATGTATTGTAATTAAGAGATTCAACTTTTATGATATGCTATTTCTAGTGTGGCATTGTGGATACATTAAATTTCGCAATTCTCCGCTCGTAAACTTTTGAGGTTTGAAACATTAAATTGAGTTTTCTTGCTTTGATAGTGATGCATTAGGTTTTCGACTTTCCAGTGTAGTCTCAGTTATTTGTTTGCTTGACGGAATGGCAAATATTTATCATCTATCACTTTTAACTGTCATTTTTTAATATTTAGGTTTCACAATGACATAATTAATTTAATCTCGTTAATCAACCCAAAACTTAATGAGTCAAATTCATTAAACATTACTAAAACTTTGTTTTATTTTTATTACAAATGCTTCCTAAGTCAATTTCTTTGTGTTTTATAATTTTGGAATAAGTTATTCTGTTGCTATTTTTATTTTTTAAATTTTTGATGTTTGGATAATTACTACATTTAAAGAGTTCAGAAATATGATAAACTCAAATCCAATATGATTACCAAAAGTGATGAATAAAACTGTTCGAGAATATCAATTTAAGTTTTGAAAAGTTTTACATAATATTTGTATTTTTAAATCAGCGATTGTATGTCTTTAGGCTTCACATATAATTAAAAGGTTATAATTTGTTATAAGTATTTTTTTTCTCATTTTAAAACTGAAAATATTAATAAGATTATTATATTATATTTTTAAGTGTTTAATTATACATTCATTTTAAAAATATATTTAAATAAGATGTTTTATAAATAATAAAATGATAATATTTGTAAGTCTTTTAATAATATATTTTATATATAAAAATATATATTTTTTAAAATATTTTTATTTATAATTAAGTAATTATATATATTTATTTTGTATGCCAATAATATATTAATATAAATTTTTAAAAATTAAAAAAATACAAGAACCACCCGGATTTGTTTAAATCATTAAAAAACAAATACAATAATTAGTTTTTTTTTTTAATGTTTCGATATAATATCATAATCAACCCTATTCAAAATGTGATGATATGTTTGTGAGTTTCCTTTTATTTTTATCGATATGTTTTTTATTTTATTTTTTTTATTCAATGTGAACATTTTGAATTTCACCAAAATATAAACTCTCTGAAAACTTCAGACCTAATCCTCCCTTCTTCTTTTGGTTCCAGATTTCCTTCACTTTTTCTCATCCTTTTCTTTTCATTTTTCTTCTTTATCAGACTTCATGACTAATATGTTATAATTTCCTTTACCTGAATAAAAAACTTGGATGCCTATTCTGTGCTTTGCTTTTATATATAGGATTGATCTTGGGAAACTGATGGAGGTAATTGTTTAAAAATTTATTTTGTTTTCATTTTTCTTCTTTATCAGATTTCATGACTAATATGTTATAATTTCCTTTACCTGAATAAAAAACTTGGATGCCTATTTTGTGCTTTGCTTTTATTTATAGGATGTAACTTAATGTATGTTTCACAAGTAAAGGCCCGATTGGCAATTTGTTCTAATTTGTCATACATGTCCAGGGTTTTTTGCATTCTTATCCTGGACAGATGGATCAAAACTAGTTTTAGCATACTTTTCTCTATCATTACTGTCATTGACTTTTTCAAGATAGTCAACTTATGAATTTTCTTATGTAATGAAACAGAAATTTTGTTGCACTGTGTTTCTTTTTTATATCTTCGTTCCCTTTTTATCAAATCTTATGATTTGCTGACCCTTGCAAATTAACATGTCTTGCCAAGAAATACTGTTTTAAGTGGCACTTGTTCATCACCTTTTTAAGTGGATTGGTTTGATGACTTTGATGTTTGGTCCTTGTAGGTTCATGGTGATTATTCAGAAGATGTTGGTACAAAGGTAGATAGACCTGATGAAACAATTGTTGAGGAACCAACGGAAATAATTGGAGCTTGATTCAGACTCAGTGATACTTTATTGAGTTTGTTTTAGACTTTATCTGGCTGATGTTATGCTTGAAAATTAAACCAGTTTTGTTCTGACAATCAGACATTTTTGGTTCGTAATATTTTTGAATTTGTTTAAAATCTAAAGTCAGATTTGATTGCTTAATATTACTTACGTGTATTTTTGAATTTGTTGTAATATATTTGAATGTTCGTTAAAATTTGTCTTTTTGCAGGAAAAATAACTAGATGCAGGTGGAGACTCGTGTTTAGTTTTAAATTGATCATATAATCATGTTTTTCCTTGTTCTTTTAAGTAGGGTAGTACAGGTCATCACATTGAAAACTTTTGTTCTGTTACATACGTAATATTTTTCCTTGTTAGGGATTGTATTTCTTTATAATTTTGGTATATTTCATGGAATGATTTTTATATTTTTTTTGTGTTTATTGCAATATCTATAACAGTTATATTTTGGTATATTGTTGGGGAAACACTGTTTGTGAATCTTCCAAGGCCCTGCTGCATGCATGTCTATAACAGTTGCTTAGCTACATGCGTACTATCACTGATTAGGTGTGTGTAAACTTTGTATGCTTATGTAGACCATGTTTAATTCTGCAGATGCATATCTTGGCGTTGATGGTTTTAATGGTGTTGGAGTTGTCAACTTCGAGACTGATTGCCAATATCTAGAATAAGGAAGGAATTCCTCAAGACCAACAAAATCGAGAACTCTGGCACCGTAACAATATCAAGTTCAAGATCGGGATAAAGAAGGAATTTCTCGGTACTAACACGGTTTTATTTTCGACGGTAAATGGTTCGAGGACCGGCGAATCCTTGAGTTGTTTAGCGATGAAAATAAGATCTTGTTAGTCTCGACGAATTCTAGATAATTAACCCTTCACCTCGTCCTCCATCTGGTGGTATATAGATATATGTAAAGATCTTTAATCATAAGACCATAACCACTAAGATTGAAAGTTCGGGTAATGACAATATAAGACCAAGATCAAGAACAACATCAAAGAGATATCATCCATAATTAGTTATTCGTCTTTTCTTATTATTAAAATATTATCAATTCTTATTATTAAAATATTATCAATTCGTACTAATACTATCATATTGAATTAAATATGAAAGAGTGAATATGAAAAAATAAGTTATATTGATTTAATAAGGAAATATAATTTTTTAAACATTTTTATTTAGTGTTCGTATTGAATTAAATACGAAAGAGTGAATATAAAAAAATAAGTTATATTGATTTAATAAGAAAATATATTTTTTTTAAATTCTTACTTTTTTAAATTTTACAATTTTAAACAATTAAATTTATTATAAAATTTTAAATTCTAATTTGTATCAAAATTTTACGCTAAACCATATATGTTTTTGTTAAACATTTCAATATCTTTTTATTAAATAAAATTCTTTATAAATTCTACCTTTAAATATAAGTTAAAAAATTGTTAAGGTAATTTTTTTTTAATTTTTAACTAGATAAGTTTTTCAAATTCTCCTTGTGAAAATGTTGAAGGTAGATCATAGAAACTTGTTCACCAAACTTTTAGATTTATTAATAGTTACACCACGTATACAAATAGTTTATTCTCCGAATTTTTAAAATAGTATCAGATTTATTGATTTAGGTCTAATAGAGAATTGATGTTGTTACTAAAAAAACTCAATTTTAATTAAACTAGTATATTAGTACAAATAAATAAATATTTTTTTAAAAGATAAACTTTTTTTTATAAAGGATAGATCTATAAAATTATATTAACTTTAAATAATAATCTTTAACTCCTATATTTATATCTATCATATTTATTATAATTTATGATAATATAATAATAATTTTTATTATTATTACAACTATTTTTTTAAAATATTATTGTTATTAATAATTTTATTATATTATTATCTTTAAATGTATTATTTTATTAAATATAATTAAACTCCGATTAAATTAAAAACATTATTTTATCCTCTATCCAATTAATTTTTTTTTACTCACCTTATATTCATTTTGAAATCAACTTTTCATATTGTGTTTCGAAATAAAAATTACCCTTCGTAGACGAACACGGTCTTATAACGTTCGGCCCTTTTCTTCTGGTAGTGTATTCAGTAATAAATGTACAAGCATCTAGTGCTAATTCCAATTCCAATTTTGGACCACTTCGTCTATCCTTCCAGCGAAATTTCGTATAAGGTTGCATCTAATACATAAACTTCAAATAATACTTCATAATCCAATAACTTCATCCATTATCTATCTTTCCAATACAAGAAAACACGCGTTTAATTATTGAGAAAGGCCCTAGGCTTAATCCGTGCTGAAATGAGAATTTTATCACAGTATCTCATCTAAGTATAGCAGGAGTTTAACACCATCGGTTTATGATTTGGATCTATAGTAAAGATTCTCCAAGTACATAAGACAGGGATATAGGGAAATAAAAATTCACTCTTTACAGCTTCAATCCATTGTCAGCAATACAATCACCTAACAATTAGAAAGAAGGGTAATCCTGTTATGCACCTAAAAGAAGATGCAGCATGCAGTACAGTACTAGCATTCACTACACATTGCTCTGTTTGTAAAACTTGGTGTCAAGAACTTGCTTGCCACACATTGCGCAAACTCCTGCCATACAGAACACATCAATAATGGAGTCATGCACTTCATATATAAAACACACTGTATCAAATGGGGAAAAAAATATATGGTACCAAGTGCAAAAACATCTCAACATGGAAATAGCACCTTTAGAGTAAGCACAGGTGTGGCAGTACTTGGCATCCTGGTGCACTTGCTGCTTGCATATGATGCACTTAATATTTCCGTAAGGGGTCCTTCTGCAAGAAATTAATTTAAGAATAAGTGCACTGTTTAAAGATTATTAATTACTGAAACATGAATGGTGGAACAAATATCAAGGTTACAAAAGGAGAAAAAGGAACATGTGACTCAAGCAGCTAAGGTATAATAGAACATTAGATAAAAATTTGCCGATGGTATCAAGGACCATCTGAGAAGCACAAGACTTGCATACAGATTTACAAAAAGGTAATGTCCCTCACTTAAGTGTACTTGCTCATTTACTTTGGCTGTAACTGGCTTTATTCCAGAATGTCAACTCATTCTAAGCCCAAAACCAGGAAAGCTTTCGGCCGCTATTGGACCATGAAAAACAAGAACCATGCTTATAATCATTATTATACAAATCTAAAAAACAATGCTTATAGTATTGAGCATCATTTACAAGTCAATACTAAGCTTGCACACATTATAACACGACATGTAACATATAGTAGTTTTGACGTTTGAGACAGCTATATTAAAAATATTTCGCAACAGCCTCATAAGTCAAAATACAGATATAGAGTTCTAACTATTAAATATATAAATAGAAATTGACTACAAACATTAAGTTTGAAACAAAACTAAAGTGTAGGCGATAGGTATGAAGAGGGAGAGTGATCAGGGTTAAAGGTGAAGTCAAGGGAGGAATGTCAATACTCATGTCACAGAAAAAAGTCACGAAATAAATAAATTGTAATAACACAGATTTAATTGTGTTCAAATTTCGTTACATACAGAATTAGGTCCTGGTAATAGTGAAAAAATGATTTACTTCGTTATTAAAACTACTTGTTTAAAATAGCCGACTAGTTACCTTATCACTAACTACCATTTGATAGAATTAGGTTTCTTTCATAACTCATGCAATACAATCAATCTACATGTAAATATGCATTGCCCAAAAAGAAAATAAAAAAAGAAAAATTATATTTCAACCATCAAACCAAATATGCGATGAAAATAGTGCAGGGAACTTGGCACCAAAACCCTATATCAGGTCGCAAATATGCATAGCCCTCTCATAGTGATGCATACAATTTACAAACATACAAAATTCAAAAAGTTCAACCCATCGAATTCCCTAGACAAGGATTGCGCCCCTCTTAAGGGAGTGTTATATAACAAAAAAAATGAAATATAGTAACATAAATACTATTGAGACTCAAAGGTGAAAATAGACTATAGCATGAAAACAAAAATCCACATTGCAGATTGATTATAAAACAAAATCTACATTTCAAAATTTATTACACCAAGCAAGTATCAAGCGATTAAAAAAAAAAAAAAAAAAACTCTGCCACGAAACTAGACATGTTCGCTTTAACATGTTATCTGCTAATGAAAAAATATACAAGTGACAAAGCCATGTTATGCTTCTCATGCCCAGTTTTAAAATTAATTAAAAAACATGAAAAATTGAAGGTTCACGAAGACCTGTTTTTCTTGGAGAGAAGCTTGTTCTCGTTGATCTTGCAGCCACCACCCTCGGTAGTGTTGCTAGCCCCTTCTTTCCACTTGTCTGGTACTATCACCTTCGTTTATTTCTTCTCACCTGCAACCCAAATTCCAATTCAAAAATTCAAGTGAAACTCAAAAAAAATAAAAATTGACGGAGAGATAGGGAAGGAAAGGTATGTATCTAACTGGAGATGAAAGTCACTTCTCGCATACCATATCAGTCGATTTTTTTTTTAAATAATATTATTTTTTAAAATATTTTCCAAAATAGTATATTTGAAATATTATTTACCCAACTAGCACTCTTTGTTGTTCACGTATTAAAATAATGAATTATTTTATATTATGATCGAGTATTTCGCGTAAGATTAATTCTTACTCAACGAGAAATTCATCATTTGAGCGAGGAGACCTGCAACTAATGAGTATTTTCGAGTTCTATTTCGCTTAAGCGATGGATTTCTCGCTTGAGCGATAAGTGATTGAAATTTATGGTAACCCAAGTTATATTATGTGGCTAATTGTGTTGGACGTTTAGTCTGTGGTCAACTTTCGCTAAAGCGAGAAATTCATCGTTTGAGCGAGCAGACACGCAATTAATGAGTATTGTCGAGTTCTATTTCGCTCAAGCGATGGATTTCTTGCTCGAGCGAGAGAAATAATAGTTCATAAT